AAAACACAGATTTTAGCTCCAAAATGCAGCAAATAGCAAGGCAAGCTGCCCCAGGCTGAACAACAACAAAAAAACTCCAATAGAAACTTAAACAAAGGCATCGCAAGGATCTAGTCAAACTCCATTCGATCAAGCTCCAGAAAAAAAAACTAACATGGAGTTGCAAAATTCAAGCGTCAGCCACCGTCAGCCCTTTCTGCATGTTTCTCGTCCTTGGCTTTTTCTTCCCCCTCTTCCGTGGACACTTGCCGTCGGTCTGCTAGGTCAGTCCTGGAGGTGAAATCGCAGTGGAAATCAAATTCAATCCCCAGTCCTAAAATTCCAAGATGCCAGGCATGGGTAACAAGTTCTTTGATCTCAACCTACTACCCGATGTTTGAAACATGAAGAATGAATGTTGTGGAGAGAAATGCAGCCGTGACGGGGTCGGTCTTGTTGCCAACGAGAATGATGACAACATCGCTTCCCCTTTCGCTTCTCACATCCTGAAACCAAAGGCTTCACGGCTTCAGTGAAGCTTGAAACCGTAGTTGAGAGCGCGTCAAATCACTCCAAAGCATCACAAGAGCATCGGCACCTCAATCCACTTGGAGGTGTTGAGGAAGGAAGCCCGGTTAGTGATATCGTACACCTGATCCAGGAAAGCACACGCATCTCCGTTTGTCCGCAAGATTCCGCAAGTCTATAAGCCAAGCAGCATTTAAAGTCCACACAAGTTCACAAAGTCTACAGAGTCTGCTAAAGTCTACAGGACTAGTTTGGGTGCAAATCAAAGAGCCTTCAGGATGACAAGGCTTGGGTCCAGCGTATGTAGCTACTACATATGTTTCAGATGGTACGTCTTGGCAAGATAAAATGTTTGAATTTTGAATGTGGTTTGATGGATGTGCGTGAATCATGTCTCTGCATCTGTCCACGTATGTCGAAGGATATAGTAGTAGATAGGTATAAATGCATGAAGTGTGAAGCCTGAGGTTCGGTTTATCGTCATATCGCCAGGGGCCTTCTCATAGATAGTAAGGCCCTCCCTCCCTCCCTCCCTCCCTCCCTCTCTCTCTCTATCTCTCTCTCTCTCTCTTTAATATCATTGTATCGCACACATATACGGTGTCATCTCTGCCTTTTTGGACATCCCTGCAACAAAGATCTGGGGATCGCGCCACAATTGCACCGGAAGAATCGCGAATGTAGCTTGGGATTAGACTGCGAAAGCGCTCCTTCAATTCTAAGTGACACTTGTCCTATATACTACCAATTGCATTCACCTCTATTATCGGTGAACTTGGGCTGCCTGACTTGATGTTGAAAATACAGCGACTGGGACAATTGCAGTCCTGACCCGCAGTGTCCCAGAGTTGAAGCCTCACTGTTCTGTCCTCTCCGCACGGACAGAGTACAGCAATGACGGTGACAACAAAATCAATAGAATAACAAAGGCAACAAAGGCAACGCCTTTTGAAGGGTTAATGTCGCACCAAAAAAGGACTTGTCACTTGTCCAAATGCCGTCTGTCTTATCAAAGTCACCAAACTTCCATTAGACTTCCAACATGCTCTATAGCTGGATACACTTGCCAGTAGACGAAAGGAAGCTGTTGGCACTGCCTCCAAATACATTGTCTTGCTCAAAAAGTCAATCCCGATGGTCGCCTGCATGCGCAAACAAACCTATGATTCAAACCTTCGTGATTTCCACAGATGCCATAGAATTCTTGACAACAACGGCCTGTCATTTTTTGGCTGAGCAACGCTGCACAGAAAGCGCACACACACACACACCTGACCTGGTAGTTGTTGTCAAAGGTATCATACATGAATCGGGTGATCACCTGGAGCCATCTCCTTCCAAACCCTCTCTGAATTATACTTTATAATTAATACATATTAACAATACTCAACTATACTCAACCCAATTCCCGTATTTCTACGTATTTCTCTCACATTTGATGTGAAATGCAAATGGGGTCTGAGAAGGCCACAGATGTCTTTCCAACTGCTTGCTCCCCCAGGAACACCAGCTTGTACTGCGGCACACGTGCCAAGCTATTCTCAAGATACAGCAAGATAAAGGAAGTCATGGAAAGTCATGGAAAGCCTTCTGAATCCCTGTGACACCTGTGACATCCTTTTTTCGACAATGAAATGGTCTGAATCCCTGTGCCGCACAGTGCCTTGTTCAGACCGGTGACCCGTGCCATACCTGGATCTGCCATGGCGACCTGCCTTTGGCTAGCTGAGCACAAGACACTTCAAGACACGGCCAGCTAATTCGCGCTTGCTTCATCTGCCACTTTCTGTCTATGCACAATGTCAAGATAGGTTTCAGGTTTGTGGATTCTAAAGGTTATCAAATGAAACATTATAAAGCATGATAAAACCAGTGTACGCATACAGCACATCAGCAACTGTCAACAACTGCGTTGAATGACTGACTAAATGAGGCTGGACTTGGAGGACTGTCTGTGCGTTCTTTGATGATCGTCCTTGTTAATAAGTCATATATACTACCAATGCGGAAGCGCAACTGGTCATGTTATCCAGCTGCGCGGGGCAAAAGTCAGTCTACTAGGACCAAAGCAGCTGAAGGCCAGCGGATTCTGCTTGATCAACACGATTAGATATTTCGGACCAGCCACAGAAGATAGCGCTACAGCCCCCAGCAGCGCAGCTGCGCAGGCTCTTTTCATCTGTTCCGGAGCATTTGAGACGACCTTCATCTAGCGTTGCAGCCTCAGAAAGTATGAGGATAAAAGCACTGGAAAAGAAAAGGCACAGGAAAGAAAGCAGGGTGAAAAGGAACGAAAAAGGATGGAAAGAGCTTTAAAGAATTAATGAAAAAGGCGTTGCTGCGCGTGGCTAGAGCAGCTACTCGCAGGACCGCTGTGATGGTTTGATTTAGAGAAAAATGGAACTTGACTTGAGCGAAAAGAACGCGAAAGAGAAGCAGTGTTTCCGAAAGGTCACTTGTTTGTTGTAACGCGAGGGGCGAAGGGACTACAGATTTCAATATTCAGAATCCAGCATGGGTTCGCCAAGGGAATGCTTGCAAACCACTGGTCAGTACCGGCAAACAAACACCAAACAATGGCAACTTGGCCACACGGCCACTCCAACACACCAAGAACAAGGACCCCAAACGTACACAGCACTCCGCTCACACCTTTCATACCAGCACCAAAGAGAATCCGAAAGAACCATTTTTTCCGGGAAAAACATATCTAAAGCAATTGACATTGACAAGAATTCCCAATACAGCGTGGCAGAATGGTGCAGAATGAGTGGGTGTTCTGTGTGCCCAGCAAACCCTGTGGCTGTAAAAGTCACTGAGGAAATGTCAAGCTTACCCAAGACAATCAAGACAGCACATGCGCTACTGCTCTGGCGCCCAGGGCGGGGAGGATGGGCAGAGTTCGTCCACAAGCCATGTGCCCATTTCCGGGTTCCTCTCATGGTAGAGTCTCAGCTGGGGTTGTTTTGCCTTAAGCTCCAAGCGCGTGCTTTTCTCTTACCTACATTTAGCCCACATCGGATTTTACACTTGCTTTGCAGTCCCTCAACATTCATCACTGCATTTGGAAGTCAGAAATGTTTAGGGCAAATGAAATGTCTGGCTCTAAGCAAATGCTAGTTTTGAATCCTCCTCCTGCTCCACATGGGGGATATTCAAGGATTGGGGTTTCTTTTATGTGTCAAAGACAACTTTCTCATAAGACTAAGCACCCATTTCTCATGTTTGGTTGTTGTATGACCTTCAACAAGAAACACATTATATATAACGATCAAAATAGTCGCTGATGTGATCTTCCCACTGGAACCCTGCATACTCATGCCCTCTGCATCTTGGGAGCTGGACGGAAAGGGAATATAGTATGTATCAGTATGTACATGTATATGTATACACAACATATGCATTATGGATGGATGGATGGATGGATGCATGCATGCATGCATGCATGTACGTACATACACACACACACATATATATATATACGTACGTAGATATAAAAAAAGTATTGGTGGCATAGAAAATAGACATTGTTGGCGTCATTGACCAGAAAGGCGGCTAGGAATGGGGGAACGAAGGAAGAAAGGAGAAACAAATGAAGGGGAAGAAATGAAATGAAGGACAAGAAAGAAAAAAGGAAATAAAGGTCGTTAAGTACAAGTAGTCCTGCCAAATCCTGTCCCTATACACTTTCCTGCACTACTCTGCAATTGCTGACATAAATCTTCTGCGAGCTCTTTGGAGAAGTTGGTAGTGTCCAAAGATTTGATTTCTGTGCATGGTGTTCCCTACAAAGGCTAGCTAGCAGCAGCTAGCAACCAGTTTTCTTCCACCTGTCATGTTGTCTGTTGAATACTGGGATGGGCATAAATTAGGCACAAAAAACGCAACACTTCTCTAGGCCTATCCATTGATGGCATGGTTGTGAGTTGTGGAAAGCTCTTCCCAGATCCAATTTTTTAAGGAGGAAAGAATTGAGGTTCAGGAACAGCACAACTCCCCAAAGAATCCTTAGAGTGCCAAGCTTGCCCAAAAAATCAAATTCATTACTGAAGTCCAATTTAAAAAGGAGCACCCAAACATTTTTTCAAGGGGGTAGTCCATGAACCACGCAGATTGTCAATAGTGGGTTTGTTGTCATGGTTGTGAATAGAGACGAGGATTTCCTGGAGTTTTTTGGGATCCACTAAGCCTGAGATTGATGCATTGGAGCTGCCTCTTAGTCATCGCCACTCTCAAAGAGTCTTTTGAATGCCAAGGTTTCCGAAGAAGGAGGGCAAAGGGAAAGAAAGCCAAACGGATCGAAGAAAGGAAAGGCGGAAAAGGAAAGGAAGCAGGGAAGAGAAGGAAACAAAGGGAGGAAGAAGACCTTTCCTTAGATTCTGGAGTTGAGTTTCCTTCTTATGAAGGAAAATAAATTGACAATATATATATATATATGGGCCACGGTCAATATTTGGTATATAGCTCCAAGGCATCAATTTTTGACGAGTGTATTATCGTTTTTCAAGTTTTGGTATACAAGCAAATGTTATCGTTGTTTGAAGAGTGTATTATCGTTTTTCAATCCCCAGCTCAATTTCCAAAATATGAAGATGTCTCGAATACTACTCTCCATTAACCTAAATTTTGGCTGTAGCTCATATATAGATTCAAATGAATTGAGATCCTTACTTATCCTCAGGAATTTCTCAAAGTAAAGGATCCTTACTTAGATCCATGGTTGAGGAATATTCGGAATAGTAGATAAAGGGGTTCCAACTGAGTGTCCCCACTATTCATCCCCTAAACATTGTTGAAGGGGAGGGACACACCCCACCCCCCGTCCCACTAATCAACATCCAACATGACAACAATTTCAACCAGTTTGAAGCATCTTGAAGCCGTACTCATCTTTTTCAAATGGTCCAATGGGCTCCATATTTCAAATGTGAATGCAGTCCTCCGACTTCTTCACTGCTGAGGGCCTGTCTAAATAGGCCGCATCAATCCTGACCCGATAGTGTTTGACTGTACTGTTTGATCCAATTGCACCGCTTGATTCGTCTTGTACCGGCCTTCTGCAAAAGCCAGTCTGGCACCTCAGTAAAGGTGGCAGCGACAAGGGGAAAAAAGAGTGTCAGACAGTGTCAGCGCCAGCATGTCGGTATTGACAATAAGTCTGATATCTGATAACCCCCAACAGTGGGTCACAGAATCCAAGCAATAGCTTCCTCTGAGGCCACATCCCAGCCCTCTCTCTGGCCAATAACTTGCGGATTCACTCTCGCAACCCAGGTCCAGCCAGACCTTGGAGTCATTTATTGACCAAGGAACCTTTGCAACACATGGAATCGTTCCTGCCAGTTCTTTTGCAATGCGCACATCACGAAGCCACATGAAGCATCCGGTGCAGCTACGGTTGACCAGAGTCATGGCTCTGTCACACTCGGAGTGCCCGAGTCGCAAACGGATCCTTCTTTTTGACAAACACATGCTCCCCTTCTTTCACAGAAAGCTGTGCAGAATCTGGAGCTGTAAAGTCCCTTCCAACCTGCAAACCGCAGGAATATTCGTGGGCAAGGAACACAAACATAAGTGGCTTTTGATTTGCTATGGTTTTCTTTTTCTACTGTTCAGCAATCCGCAACAGAGAAAGCATGGTCTTGGTGGCCCAACCGTTTTTATGTAGTGTGGAGCATTTACAATATATATATATATCACATACATTTTTTGACCAGCACGCCTCCTTTAAAGAGGATGAGGCACGCTCTATGCTCCATGACTATGATGTATGAATTCAAGTCTGGAGGAGTACATGAACCAATGCAAAACCTAAGCGAACACAACAGTCACAAACAAAGCACTTAGACCAAAATCACAGTTGCATTTGTTGAGGCTTTCAAATTCTAAAGTAAACAAACATAACTGGCATAACTTGTTCCGTACGGACCGGGCGGAGTGCAATATGTTTTTTGTTCCGTTACCTCGGAACGGATTCTGAATTTTGGGATCAGGGACATGTAAGCATGACGAAGATACTAGGCCCTGCGCAGGATGACAAATTGAAGCTTTGTAGCCACAAAAAGTCTATCGTCTTTAGGCTTGACCCTTGCAGAGACCAGTATGATCATTCCTGATGTACTCGGTTTTGGAAGTCTTTCAATTGCTATTTGGTTCTTCAGTGGTTTGTATACAGCTGGCGAGGTGAGATCATCACATCTCTTCATGAAATGTTATCTCTCTATCATTTACACAACACACACATATTTCATATAAAACATTACGAGACTCACCTATCATTTTTGACGCAAGATGACTTGGCATGACTTTACTCTGTTTATCTCTTTTGGGTGGTCCATTCAACACACTTTGCTGAGTCTTCGCTGCCTTCACAGAGCTAGACGGAGGTGCACTCGGTGGCGGAGATTGCTCGGGAGGGGAATGCTGCAGCTGCGGTGCAATGAGGCAATGCCTTAGGTCGAGGGAAACACAGCAAAGCAAGAAATGATGTGAAATTATGCAACATGTTGTGAAGATGTGTTAACATATGTTAAGTGTGGTAATTATCTTGTAGACGCTTGTGGACTTCATTTCCTGGACAACTGCCACGAGACATCACAACACGCAGGAGGAGGGGCCCAAAAACAAACATGTGGTCGCACACGCACTCACACTTGCTCAGAACTGTCATTGCGAATTCTGTTGTGAAATGCATCTTACGTGCAAAAACAATCCATTAATACCTGACAGGAATGGGTCGGTGAGGGGACCTGAAAAGGTATCAAGGAGCTCCCATCGCCATAGCCAGTGCTGAAAGTTGAATGAATCGGACCTCCCCTTTCAGGAAATTTGCAGATTGCAACAACAGTGCAGCAATGAAGTGAAAAACAAACCGTCGTGCCGGTTCTTGGCTTAGCCGGTCGCCGCTAACAAAAAACTGATTTGGCGGAAATGCAGGCACGCCTGGATGGCCAATTCAGATATCCCACTCTGTGACCTAGCTTCATTGAACTGGGCCAGTCACAGAGTGCCCAGTTCCCCTGCTTCGAAAATGCATTCATGAGAAAATTCCTTGCGACAAAAAAATCCAACGAAACAGTTCAAATCGCAGGTTAGAATTTTACATCTATTCAGATGGTTCACACACACACACCGCAGCAGCGGGGCTTTTTAAGGCTCCGACAAATGAGATGAAGGTGGAAATGAAAGGGAAATGGAAATGAGATGACACTGAAAATGAGATGACACCTACTTAACCGGGACACGAGACGGGGAACGCAAAAGAGGAAAGGAAGAGGGGAAACACCAACACCAACACACCTAGCCCAGAGCGGGCAAACCCTGAAAGGGCAAGGGAAAAGAAAAAGCGGGCGGACGACGGGCCAAACACCGACCAGAGGAGGGGGGTGGGCGGAAGCGCCTGACACAACCTACAAGGCGAGAGCCAAACCTACCTCGGCACGCGAAGGACCCAAACCTGACCTAGAGAGGGAGAGGCACGAGATAGGGGACCAATGGGGAGCTAGTTGATGAACATTGATGCATCCACAATGTAATGCAGGATCCCCTGATCAGCCACAATGGCCAAAGTTTCACGTCAACCCTATGGACAGCTTACGCATTCAACCCTCAAATTGGTGCACAATTGAACCTCACCAGATCAACCAAAAAGAAAGTGGCCGCACTTGTAAAGCATGTCCTGAAGCCTGGACCTCATCCTGTTGCGCATGCTGACACAAACTAATCATTCACTCGAGCAAAAAGTTAAAAACGAGGCTTCACGGCAATCGGCACGACTTCCACATCCAAGGTTCAAAAATGGTGAGTCCCTGGAACAGCGGGCAGCAGTTCAACCAAAACGACGTTCGACGGGTGAGACTCGAAAAAAGGCCGACCGTTTCACTTTACTAAAACGAATTACCAAGTTGAAAAGTGTAAATTCAGCGATCAGGTCGAGGATTCAAGTATCACACCTAGAAAGGTATTCCCCGAAGGGTTCATGCCACCTTGACGAACCGGCATGAATCACACACACTTGCTCAGAGCTGTCATTGCGAAGTCTGTTGTGGAGTGCATCTTATGTGCAAAAACAATCCATTAATACCTGACAGGAATGGGTCGGTGAAGGGACCTGAAAAGGTATCAAGGAGCTCCCATCGCCATAGCCAGTGCTGAAAATTGAATTGGAAAATGACTCTTCCCCTTTCAGGAAATTTGCAGATTGCGACAACAGTGCCGAAATGAAGTGAAAAACAAACCGTCGTGCCGCTTCTTGGCTTAGCCGGTCGCCGCTAACGAAAAACTGATTTGGCGGAAATGCAGGTACGTCTGGATGGCCAATCCAGATATCCCACTCTCCCTGCTTTGAAAATGCAGTCGTGAGAAAACTCATTGTGAGAAAAAAATCGCCCAACGAAACAGTTCAAGTCTTAGGTTAGAGGTTTTACATCTATTCAGATGGTTGACACACACGCCCCACAGCAGCGGGGCTTTTTAAGGCTCCGACAAATGAGATGAAGGTGAAAATGAAAGGGAAATGGAAATGAGATGACACTGAAAATGAGATGACACCTACTTAACCGGGACACGAGACGGGGAACGCAAAAGAGGAAAGGAAGAGGGAAAACACCAACACCAACACACCTAGCCCAGAGCGGGCACCCCCTGAAAGGGCAAGGGAAGGAAAAAGCGGACGGACGACGGGCCAAACACCGACCAGAGGAGGGGGGGCGGGCGGAAGCGCCTGACACAACCTACAAGGCGAGAGCCAAACCTACCTCGGCACGCGAAGGACCCAAACCTGACCTAGAGAGGGAGAGGCATGAGATAGGGGACCAATGGGGAGCTAGTTGGTGAAAATTGATGCATCCACAATGTAATGCAGGATCCCCTGATCAGCCACAATGGCCAAAGTTTCACGTCAACCCTATGGACAGCTTACGCATTCAACCCTCAAATTGGTGCACAATTGAACCTCACCAGATCAACCAAAAAGAAAGTGACCGCACTTGTAAAGCATGTCCTGAAGCCTGGACCTCATCCTGTTGCGCATGCTGACACAAGCTAGTCATTCACTCGAGCAAAAAGTTAAAAACGAGGCTTCACGGCAATCGGCACGACTTCCACATCCAAGGTTCACAAATGGTGGGTCCCTGGAACAGCGGGCAGCAGTTCAACCAAAACGACGTTCGACGGGTGAGACTCGAAAAAAGGCCGACCGTTTCACTTTACTAAAACGAATTACCAAGTTGAAAAGTGTAAATTCAGCGATCAGGTCGAGGATTCAAGTATCACACCTAGAAAGGTGTTCCCCGAAGGGTTCATGCCACCTTGACGAACCGGCATGAGTCACACACACTTGCTCAGAACTGTCATTGCGAAGTCTGTTGTGGAGTGCATCTTACGTGCAAAGACAATCCATTAATACCTGACAGGAATGGGTCGGTGAAGGGACGTGAAAAGGTATCAAGGAGCTCACATCGCCATAGCCAGTGTTGAAAATTGAATTGGAAAATGACTCTTCCCCTTTCAGGAAATTTGCAGATTGCGACAACAGTGCAGAAATGAAGTGAAAAACAAACCGTCGTGCCGCTTCTTGGCTTAGCCGGTCGCCGCTAACGAAAAACTGATTTGGCGGAAATGCAGGTAGGCCTGGAGAAAAAAAAACTTTCGCGAGGGTTTCCAACATAACATGCAGGCTTTCGCAAGTAAAACTCCTTACAAGGACCTTTAGATCGATTACCACATGTAATTTGATAGGTTACTGTGTGTGTATGTGCATGTTCTCGTCTGCCAGACTTCCCCAGTCCCAATGCTCTTGCTTCATGCTGATGCACACGACACATATATCCGTGGTATGTCCGAGCTTTGTCTTATAATTGGTTTACAAGATAAGTGGCGGTTGATCCAATTAGATTCCTTTTTCTGCAAACGGCCATTCTTCGCGAATAAAAAAAAGTTTTGCGAATCTTTCGCGAACCCCACATTGATCTTTCGCGGGGGTCTCATGTTAAAATATTTCGCTTTTTGGGTAAAAAAAGACAAACTTTCGCGAACTCAGATGAAAACTTTGCGTGGTCTCCTTTTGGAACCCTGGCGGCCCTTGCAATGGACAATCTCTATATGGACCTTTGGATCCACAAATATCGACAATCAAGTGCATTTACGACCAATATCTACACAGACATGTCTGTAGGTGGGCAAGTAGATGCTTTGGTAGATACACACAGGAAAACAAGTACAACAAATACATGGATGTGAAATGATGTAAATAGATAAACAGAAAGACGGATAGACGGAAAAAAAAGACGACCGACACGCGCACGCACACACACACAGACTGATGGAGGCGTTTGAGTTTGGAGAAAAGATCTGGAGAGTCGGAGCTTGGAGCCGACACGAAAACTAGACGGGCGAGAAGCATGATTCATAGGGTTGTAACTGAAGATATCTGAAGAGGATTGTCATTCAGGCTGTTACGGCAGCAGGTACGCTTACAGCACCTTTTCTACCAGGCTCTTCGTTGGCCATTCCCCGGTAGAAGGTGGAATGGCCCCGTGCATTGTCCAGAAATTATTCCAAGCCCTATCTTCAAGGGTCCACACACATACTGAAGCACAGATAGTAATAGATAAATAGATAGCTGTGAGTAGGCAAGCGGATAGCTACGATACGTAGACAGAATGGCAAACGTATAGATAAACAGGGATGATGATAGATGGAGAATGATGGATAGATGGATGTATTATGATGTATTGATACATGGATAGACCCACAAACAAATAGATGGACAAGTTGGTTTTGGTCAAGAGGTTGCTACTGGCAACTCGAAGCTTGCAACCCACACTGCCTATTCAAGACTCTGAACTTGGCAAGCTTTGAGAGGACTGGACTTGAAGAAACAAGGATGTCATGATTGAACAAACATGCTTTCTTGTGGATGGAAAACCACTTCAAAGCCAATTTCATGATCCCAAAGTCAAAACCTCTAGGAAAACTACCAGGTAGCCCGAATCCTGAGTGCATCTTTGTGAGTGTGGTAGAGGTGTTTATTCTCAGTGTTGTCACTCGTCAACCTTGTCATTGTTGTCGTCAGCTTTCACAATCATCACCGTCAGCATGAGGATCGAAATATCGAATATGGTGTAACATGAGAGAATTTGTATGTTATCATATGTTATCAGTTGTTATCAGTTATGCTTTATTTGAACATTGGAATAAAGTTAAAGGGTTGGAACAAACGTGCTCATCCCCACCACCACCACCACCACCACCACCACCACCACCACCACACCATGATGCTCGATCAAATTGATTAAAAAAAAACAGGCACTTGGGCTGGCCACCAAACATGACTCCGCTAGTAGATTAGCCAAGCAAAACTTCAAACATACCTAGTCGCTACTTGAGCTGTGCGCGTTGAGAGTGGCTTTTAAAATGTTCAACAAGGACACTTTGCAAATTCTTCTTGAACCAGCGCACCCTAGGCAAGTGTTTGTTTCTGTAAAGTGTCCTTCTTTGAGAGTCCTCCCTTTGGTCTCTATGACTGCTAGGGCACTAGGCCTAGAAGCGTTCTATACCTCCTGGAAAAATATGCAGTGCAGTACATTGAACCTTGGAATCCGTGAGAATGGACGGAGACTGGGATTGGCACGTTGGGAACCACCCTTGCCGCTCCCGCTCTTTCATGAGCTGCCCATATGCCCAGCCATGCGCTGCCACCTTTGGGCGCGCGAAACATGATGGACTCCAGCTTTCTCAACAAAACAATGCCTAGTAAAGGCGGAGCAAATGCACTAGCATTGCAAGCATTGCAAGCATGCCAATAAAAATGAAACGCCTGTTGCACAAAAACCTCCTCGCCAACGTTCAAACTGAGCTGATTTGCATCCTTGGCAGAGTCTGAAAAAGGAAACAACCACCACCCAAGGAATGCCTGAGAAATCTTGAAAGGCTGGTGCTACAGAAAGAGTGATGAACTTTGCTTCCGCTGCTGAGGACTTGTCAGATGCCGTATGACCGCAAGCGACCACGTGCTTTCCACGCATCTTGGCCACATCATCCAAACAGTATTTGTGCTGGAAACTGGAAACCAAGAAGGATCCGAAAGCAAATTGCGAAAGTCGACTAGGATCGCAGCATCGCTCTGCACCTGTTACAGAGAAAAGGATTGAAAAGGCATGACCAAAAATGATGTGAGCGAAGACTCAACAAGGCACTGCTGTTTTTTTTTCGTAGGTCGCCAAGCCTTCGAACTTGTTGAAGCCTCCGGCAACAAAGTTTGCAGTTGAGGACTTGTACAAGATTCAATCGAATCTTCGAAACCAACGGTATGGAGAAGAAGGACCAACGAACCTTGTTCACAGAAACCCTCTCCTTACTTGCATAATTCCACATCATGCTCATGCGCATTACAACAAAAGCTACTGCTCCCGGTGGGTCAGCATCCAAGCAACATCAATGCCTGAGTCTAGAATGTGAATCTAAAACAATGTAAAAAAAACGTGTGGAAAATAGTGCTGCTTTGTTGCAAGCTTTATCTACATACATTGATCTCCGTGATGTTTCATGCAGGAGGCCAGAAGTTGCTTTCTTCGTTGTTTCTTCGATTGGTACTTCCATATATCATAATAATTGTCATGATGTGAAAAACTGTGCTTGCCCTGAAGCGCACAAGCCTTCCCAGGCATTGCTGGGGCTTCTGCTGTCCTCGACCTGAAACCAGCATAACAAACATGGCAGACACTCGGCAAAGAAACGCTTGGAAAGTAAAGATAATCAAGATAAGTAAAATACATTTCGAATTTCGACCTGTCTGAATTGATTAATCAGATTAACCCATAGACGCCCTTCAAATCCCTCCAACACAAACCACGCCAAAGTCAAAAGTCGTCAGAGCTCTAGGTGAGACAACACTTGTAACAAGCAGATGGGGCCGGACCGGCCGGATGTGGTTTTAGCAGAAAATCTAGCATGTTTTGAAAAATTAGCTGAGTTCGGGGCAGGTTTCCAGCTTCCGCAAGGTTTCCACTGGAGCAGCTTTCCAAGTGCTCACCTTGTCAAGGGCTCATGTCTACGACGTTCCATGACTATGCTGACTATGCTGTGTGGGTTTCCTTCAGGTTCTCTGCGCTGTTAGCCCCTCTCTGTCCTTCTACTTCTTTCATTCCTTCCTCTTCTTTCCTTTCCCCTTCTTTTCCTTTCCCTCTGTGTGTGTATATTCTTCTACTTGCCACCTCATAATGTACCAATTTATCCATTGTTGCTGGATGCTCCCAGAATCCTTTCTGTACTCATGAACTGAAAGCACTAAGGCGACTGCCATAGGAAAGAATATTTCCTTCCCAGGTGCAGCTTCCTCGGCAACATTTTACTCTTATGTTGGAGTAGACCCGCCAGGCAACGCCTTTGACACCTCGCACGGATCATCTGCACTTGGAAACTAACACTCAGCAAGATGTATGCAGGCATGAAGTTGTAGTACATGGTTTATTGAATAGTATTGTTCAGTCCCAGTATGACATGCTTATCAAACCTACAACTTGCGGAACTCACTACGTAAAGAAAGGGGAAGCATCATGAGCACATGGTTCAATGTCACGGATATTGAAGCGGCCAAAATATCACGACAGGATCCACAGGTGCGGATCAGTTTTGAAGTGGTTTGAATGCTGGATGAAAAACGCCGGCTTTCCGTGCTTGTGTTTTTTTCCGGAATCTTCAGGCATGTAAAAAGTCTGCATATCACTGTATTGTCGTCAATGGTCCACATGCCTTCGGCCGTCCTCTCAAGCTTCTTCACCTTCTGCTCAGTGCTGCCTCGAGACATTGCACAAGACAGATTTCATATGACTTCATTGCACAAACATATCAAGCATGTATATAGACTTATAGAGCTTTGGATGTTTTTGCATGATTTAGCCGCAAAACCGAAGCAATGAGGGATGCCTTAAGGGGATAACTACCCCCGTCAACATACCTCAGAATAATAAAGTATGATTCCGGCATAACCTGAGTTCCAAAAAAAAAACAGTATTCCAAGAACTCACTGAAATATATGGAAATTTGGAATAATCCATCAAAATGATACCGGTATAGTCGATTTCTAGCCAAACGCAAGTAATCGTAAGCAGCTGCGCGCAAACGGCCGAAAAAGGTTTCCCTTCTTGCAGAGCTCGGGCACAAATTCAAACAATTTTAAGCATAATCAGATAGAATCAAGAAGAGTCAGAATAATATCTTTAAACAAATGCCCTCTCAGCAACCCCCTGGTTGAACATGGTTTTGATTGGTTTTGGATGTTTTTCCAGTTTCTGGGCTAGTTTGGTGGTTGTGGCCTTAACGGGAATAAGTGGGAAAAGGAAAATAGTTGGTTGTCACTGGTTTTGATTTTTTTTGCCAATTTCTGGGTTTGTTTTGTGATTGTAGCAGCTGCCCACTTTTGTTTTTGAGGGGTGCCAGGCATCTCCAATACCTCTAGAATAATTGTCCCATATTTTTCCCCTGGAAAGCCCACAAAATGGCGCTCAACCTGGCTCTCTCCTCGAGATTTTCCCAACCTTGCGTACGTTTCCCATTTCTTCCATATTCCTTTCATTTCCTTCCAAAAAACTATCGTTGGCCATAGTGGGAATGGGTGGTTTTTTTTTTGCCAATTCTTGCCAGTTTCGGGGCTAGTTTGGTGATTAGCTGCCCACTTTTGTTTTTTGGGGTGTCAGGCACCTCCAGTACCCCTAGAACAATTTTTTCCCTGGGGAAAGCCCACAGAATGGCACTCAACCTGGCTCTCTCCTAGAGGTTTTCCCAACTTTGCGTACGCCCCCCTATTTCTTCCATATTCCCTTCATTTCCTTCTAAAAAACTCCCGTTGGCCATAGTGGGAATGAGTGGGAAATGTTTGGGTTTCATTTGTTTTGTGACAATTCTTGCCAGTTTCTGGGCCGATTTGGTGATTAGCTGCCCACTTTGGTTTTTGAGGGGTACCAGGCATCTCCAATACCCCTAGAATAATTTCTCCCCTGGGCAAAGCCCACAAAATGGCACTCAACCTGGCCTTTTCCTAGGCATTTTCCGAACATTCCCTTCATTGCCGTCCAAAGAACTCTCGAGAGAAAGTACCGCGAGAGAAAGGTGGTCCGTTGGACACTAGTTGTGCTTGCAAGTATGCTGCAAAAAAAGGTTGGCAGCAATTGCCCAAATTGTATGATGCCTCAAACAACTGCAATTGGCATTTCCAGCAAAAAGCTTCCAGGAAAAGACCGCCAAGCTAGGAATGGCTTTTGGAAGGGCCAGGCCAAATGTAGGAACGTATAGGCTAGGCTGCTTCGAGATGTTTTAAGATGTTTTAACTTATAGAAAATTATTCCCAAGCCTAATTATTCCGGGGTATCTTGACGGGGGGGATCATGATTTTCAAGGTTCCGACATGCATCATCGTATACCTACCCCTTGAAGAAACTATTCCTTGAAAATTATTCCCAAAAAAATATAAAAAATATTCCATAACCTAGTTGATACCCTGGAATATTTTTTTTAGGGATAGGTCATCCGAAGCAAAGCTGGACATTTTGATATGCTGACAGACACCGAAACATGCTGAGCTATGCTGAGGATTGTTCTTCCCGTGCTGCCATCTCTGACAACCACCGAAGCATGACCTGTATAGGGGTGGCGAAAAAACAGGAAAGGAATTGGACTGTACACTGTGCAAGATACTCACTCTGAAGCGGTGTTCATTAGTTTTCATCAGTGTTCTCTACTAGTGTTTTGCTTATTTTTGCTTTGTTCATCCAAGATCTTCATTCTGTCCTCTCAGCTCTTCACATGAAGGGCAATGAGTTGCAGTGCTCAAGAAGTCGCCCAAACAGCCGCTGCAGAAAACCTGCTCTTTGCGATGTCTTTGTATCTTCCCAAGAAACAAAGTAGATGCTCGATAAACAAAGCATTGAAAAGCCACAAACATATATTTAAAACATGCCAAATCTGTCCTATGTAATCCACTTCAAATGTTTCTACAAGCCACCTTTCTTAGAAACTTCACTGATTTCATCCAGGTTCTTTTGCCTCTTGAGTTTCAAAATCAGACTCCTAGAGCCTCTCACTGACCGAATGCAGCTACATTTTGTCATGGCCGAATTGAATACATCCATCGGGCACTCGACTGTGCCCCCTTAATGCCACTTGATGAGGACGGCAAAACAACTACTCTTCAGCTTTGAAACTGCTGAGCCCACTCCACGGAGATCAAATTCAAAACACTGTCTCTCCCTACCAGACCGACCCTCGATACCAGCAGCCTCTTGAGTACCTCTGAATTCTGACCTTGAACTTCGAAGTCGCACCTTCTGACAGCACATGACTACCAGCGGCTCCCAGGCCAGCCCGCTGCATAAAGGGCATTGGAACTCAGAAGTCCTTGCCCGGAAAAGCGCGGCAAAGCAAGAGACATTGAAATCAGCATGAACTTTGCCATGAAGCAAGTGAAACAAAGGAGAACGAGTCTTAATGTAATCGTACCATCAGCATATCTCCGAGAGTTCTGAAAGGCCGAAGGAGACAAAGGATGCTAAACAAAAAATTGAACAAAGCCAGCTTAAGAAATACATAGAAATACATAGAGATACAGCTCAAGAGAGCCAGCTGTACGTGCCATCTGCTGCACCAACCTCAGCTCTGGCTTTGATGTCGACTTGGCTCGCCTATGATTCACCCGTGACCTGTGACACCTGTGATGCCTGTGATGCTGTCCCATGCTGTCCTCTGGTGTCTCACCCAGCTTTCAGATCTTTCAGTAGAATCGATCAGCAAAAACATGCCCACCACAGTTACCACATGTAATTTTCCGCAATTTTCAAACTTATGGTCAGTGTCTATCTCCAAGTTTCCAAGCTCCGATAGTGATTCATTCAATTTATCCAGGACTGACTGCCATTCCGTCTGCTTTATCACATCAGGTTACTTCGCAGTTTCTGCTTGTTGCACTCAACGATTTGCGACGGTTTTGTAACTACTCAAAATCATTCAAAAACGTATCTTCTCACGTTCTCGGCCTTGTGGCCTCCCTTTCCATTCTGCTTCCGTTTCACCAAAAAGCAGGTGGTGCTGTCCATTTATCATTTATATATATCAGTCTGGGGCAACCTGCCACCTGGCTCAGCTTCACATGAGGCTTTACCTTTGCCTCGACAAGCAATCCGTCCGCCCAGTTCCAAACATGTGATGCCTTAGAATTGATCCAAAATGATCCAGATTCAAAAGTGCTTCTCGTTGCCTTGCATGCCACTGTGGAAGTTTTTTCAACAAATCAACGCCACGTGTGTTTCAACTGTGTCTGTATAGCTTCGGCCAGTTTTGAGCATTGCAGCATTGCGTGAGAACCAAGCAGCCCGAACAGGCCAAACATGGCCAAACTGCCCAAGCAGGCAAGCCTCCTTCGTCGGCGTTGAGGGATGACTTGGATGACTTGGATTGACCTTGATGATGCAGCTGGACAGTGGAGCTGGATAGATTGGATAGTGACATTTGAATCATTCGAATCATTCGAATCATTCGCTTAGCTTTGCCTTCATAGGGCGCCATGCATTGCATTGCAATGGCCACTGGGCGGCCAACCAATGGAACAGTCAGTGCTTGCGGCTGACTCTCGGGTAATTCTCTTCTTTGAAGCGGTCGAAGCGGCCTTAGCAAACTTCGAAACCCCACACGTGGAGACTTATGCACTGTCCTGGGGTCCAAACTGGGAATATGTTTGAACTGGAGGCTCAACAGATTCTCTCCGATGCAGCCTTGGCTGACAAGCGATAAAGCTGTGTAAAAATGTTGAACATTGAGACATTGTACAGTAACATCAGTAACAATATGTAACAACTGAACTATTGCTGGATCCGCTACGAGCAAGTAACACCTGGAGAGGTGAGCGGTGACAGGTTGAGATCAGGGCGGGTAGGCAGAGGCTTGGCTAGCCTGAGAAGCTTGAGGCGGTTGCATGGCCTGGGAAGCGCATGTTGCCGGAATAAATGTCAGGATCCGAATGGTTGACCTTCAAAGCGCAGGAACCCAGCAGAACTCAGCACACGATTCTGACATATTCTGACCATACTGAACCTTTTTGGACCTATTAACAATGACTTGCAGCTGGTAGAAAGGGGAAGAAAGTCCAGCGGCTGCCTGCGGCCACTCTGGGCTGCCTCCACTGCTGGGATGTTCAGGCCTGACGAAAAGCTCAACTGACCAACCTCGACACCGCGGAAAGCACTGAGCAAGGCGCGTGTCTGTGTGTGCAGGACGTTTTAGATGCTAATAATAAATGTATCTATCTGGGATTATAATATATTATAGTATATCTACTCATATATATATGATTATATATGATTACGCAGTCATATTTCTGTTGTGTCCTCCACTTTGATTGCAACTACATCTCGATCGGCGGCCAGCAACCACAAGACAGTTTGGACAGACACTGCGACCTCTCCCTCTCCAGAGGTCGTCCACCAGCCAAAGCCAAAGCCTACGCCAAAATGTCAATACTGAACAAATCTCTGACTGCAGCATTCCACAAGTCTGAGACCCTTTCCCAAGCTGGGCGCCTCTTCAGACAGTTGGTCCGATGGAGCCAGCTGGCCAGAAAGGACAGCATGTCTTACATACAAATCCTCGGAAGACAGGAGGTCACACTCTGGAGTGGCAAAAGCAAATACGCGGACACAAACATCGGCATAGACTGCTGCAGTTTCAAAGACTGTAGCTGTGGAGGAAACGCTGCGCTGTAGAACAGCCAAAACTTTTTGTGCTTGTTCCGAGGTGGCAAAGCGCACCAGCCTTCGATAGCACGTTTTACCACAACTGTGGGCCCGAGCATCTTTACAGCACTGGCATACCGCCAACACGCTGTAAATTGTAAATGAAGCTGGTACACTTGTACAGAAATTACACAAGCACTATCAAATCTATCAAGTACTGAGTTCCAAAGGAGTGTAGAGTGTAGCCCTTCACTTGGGTTCAAAAAAACGAGACTCGGACGCATCTTCAGCACCCACTCTGGCACCATCCACCTGAAAGCAAGTTTTTATTGAGCAAGGGTGATACAGAAAGAATAGGGCCATCACTGCACAAGGTGGTCAGTGTGGGCAAACTTCAAATTATAAGAGGTGCGTAACAGGCAGGTCTGAAGTGCTTACAACCAGTTTCTCCCCAAAATTTAAAAACATTAAAAAACAACTCTGTGGATCTCTGTGGCACAGTCAAGGGTGCCTCCTAGTAGGTGTGCCTACCAATGGATCTCACAATGGATCTCTGTTATTTGAAACACTACTTTTGTACTGGCTCCCCGCTCGCACCATCCGGATTCTGAGAAAAGGATCGCGTTGAAGACAGAACACCATTATTCCACTGAAACTCCGTTTCCAACTGGAGGAACCGGAGTTCGGTTTTTAGAACCGATTCCACTATATGTTGCGCACTGTTGTTTCCCTTTTCATGGTGCAGTTTTTTCCTTTTAGTTTACTCCTATCATTTTGTTTTCTTCAGCATTTTTGTGTGTAGCGCAGAGTGACAACCATTTCATTGGGCGCCAAATTATTCAGTAACAGAGCGTTGCAACCCAACAGCAGCTTCCAAGGTTCCAGGGCACTATTCCGGTTCGGGCCCGGCAAGAAAATTGAGCACCAGCCCCAAAGATTGAAACCCAACAGTCACTGTTGTTGGGAATTTGTTCGTCAGGGTCCCACCACCCGCACCGAGTATTTGGTTATTTGGCCTGGCTCTTGGCCACATTGAACCGCAAGCAGATGGCAGACTATATATCAACAAGATGCAGCCCACGAACCCGAATGCTCACACGTATGTTCATGGTACAGATGTCGAAACACATGGATATGCAGTCACGTAAAATACTTGTGTGAAACAGCTTATTTGAACGATCTTGTACATTTTTCCCCTGTTACCAAACCACTGCACCGTAGACTGTGGAATATCGAGGAAGGTGGCAAGCTAAGTGTGGAATGTGGAGTGTCGAGTCTGGAGTGTAAAGTGTAAAGTCTAGAGTGTAAAGCGTGGAGTGTAAAAAGTGGAGTGTGGAGTGTGAAGTGTAAAGTGTGAAGTGTCGAGTGTACAGTGTGGAGTGTAAAGTGTGGAGTGTAAAGTGGAGTGTAAAGTGTGAAGTGTAAAGTGTGGAGCGTGGAGTGTGAAGTGTGGAGTGTAAAGTGTGGAGTGTGGAGTGTGGAGTGTAAAATTGGGAGTCCGGAGTTTGGAGTGTGAAGTGTGGAGTGTAGAGTGTAGAGTGTGGAGTGTAGAGTGTGGAGTGTAATGTGTAGTGTAAAGTGTAGAGTGTAGAGTGTGGAATGTAAAGTGCGGAGTGTACAGTGCAAATTGTGGAGTGTAAAGTGTAGAGTGTGGAGTGAGGAGTGTAAAGTATAAACTGTAAAGTATTGAGTACAAGGGGTGTGAAGTGTGGAGTGTACAGTGTAAAGTGCGGAGTGTAAAGTGTAAAGTGTGGATAAAGTGTGGAGTGCGGAGTGCGGAGTGAGAAGTTTAAAGTGTAGAGTGTGGAGTGTGCAGTGTAAAGTGTGGAGCGTAATGTGGAGTGTAAAGGGTAAAGCCTGGAGTGTAAAGTGTGGAGTGTATAAAGTGTGGAGTGTGGAGTGTAAAGTGTGGAGTGTAAAGTGTAGAGTGTGGAGTGTAGAGTGTAAAGTGTGGAGTGTAAAGTGTGGAGTGTAAAGTGTAGAGTGTGGAGTGTGGAGTGCAAAGTGTAGAGTGTGGAGTGTAAAGTGTGGAGTGTAAAGTGTGGAGTGTAAAGTGTGCAGTGTAAAGTGTAGAGTGTGGAGTGTGCAGTGTTGAGTGTAGAGTGTAGAGTGTAAAGTGTGTGTGGAGTGTGTGTGGAGTGTGGAGTGTGAAGTCTGGGGTGAAAAGTGTTGAGTGTGGAGTGTCAAGTGTGGAGTGTAGAGTGTGGAGTGTAAAGTGTAGAATGTAAAGTGTAGATATGTAAAGTGTAGATTGTAAAGTGTGGAGTGTAAAGTGTGGAGTGTAAAGTGTGGAGTGTAAAGTGTGGAGTGTAAAGTGTGCAGTGTAAAGTGTAGAGTGTGGAGTGTGCAGTGTTGAGTGTAGAGTGTAAAGTGTGTGTGGAGGGTGGAGTGTGAAGTCTGGGGTGAAAAGTGTTGAGTGTGGAGTGTAAAGTGTAGAGTGTGGAGTGTGGAGTGTGAAGTGTGGAGTGTGGAGTGTAGAGTGTGGAGTGTAGAGTGTGGAGTGTAAAGTGTAGAGTGTAAAGTGTAGAGTGTAAAGTGTGGAATGTAAAGTGCGGAGTGTGAAGTGTAAAGGGGAGTGTAGAGTGTGGAGTGTAGATCGCGGAGTGTGGAGTGTGGCAGAGCACGCAATGCAACACGTGTGAAGTGCTGCGCTTTTCACGCAGAATGACGCTAGAGGTTTTTAAAGTGCTGCGGTTGCTATGAAAACTGCAACTGCAACTCATCTTGTGAAAACGATGCAAAAGTATTGCGCGCAAAACGACTTTCGACACCTTATCAAACAGGTTGGAATGTCACAAAGTGTCACGCCTGCCAAACAAAACGACATGACAACCTGCTTGGAAACCTTCGAAAAGGAGAGGTTTTGCAGCTTCCCCCATAGACACGGCGAGGCCACAGGAAAACCAGAGACTCGAGATGAGACACGTGGGAGCATGAAAACGGGCATTTCGTGCGAGACTTCCTCCAATTTTCATACTTTGTAGCTTCAAAATCAACATTTTCCTTCGAGTTTCTTATGAACCAACAAATTTGCTACGTCAAAATCGATGTTTCGTGCGAGGCCTCCATCAACTTTCAGCACATCTCACAAAATGCCACGCCTGCCACGGAATTTGCACCTCGTCACCACTTGACGCAGCCCTGACAATGCGATTCGCAAAAATCACGCTGCAAGACACGTCTAAAGTGTTGCGGTTGCCAAGCAAAATGAAGATGGACACGTCCAAAGCGCTGCGCCTGCCACGAAAACTGGAACCCATCTTTTAAAAACGACGCAAAATTAAAAGTATTGCGCCTGCCGCACAAACCGACTTTCGACACGATACAAAACACGTCTGAATGTCACGAAGTGCCACGCCTGCTAAGCGAAACGAAGCAACGCGATGTTTGAAAATCCAAAAGTGACCCCCATTGCAAACTTACCATAGGCACGGCCATAGCGACCTCGCGCGAACGAACTGTTGCGAACGGTTGCGAACGGTTGCGAAAGGTTGCGAAAGGTGGCGAACGGTTGCGAACGGTTGCAAACGTTTGCGAACGGTTGCGCGCCGTCGAGCGAACACACCCTCAACCCCCAGACCCACAGAGTGAAACGGGAGCCCTTGCTACGCATTGGGGAAAAAAACATGCCAAACTCCAGAACACTATATTCACAAAAACCAGGTACAGTAATTACTAAGCGATGGAATGCTACGGTATCGGGTAGAAGACCTTGTGCATCTGGTTTACATTTGTTCTGTAAGGCTCTTGTGTAACGATAGTCATATTGTAGGAGATCACCTTCACAGTGCACTGCTTTACAACATGTTCGGCCAGCATTTGTGTGAAACACACTTCACAACATTTTATACAAGTTTGGTGACACATTGTCACGTTATCTGTAGATGACTCCACAAATACTGCCTGGCAAATTGCCTGATGGGGAATCAAACAAAGTGATATACTCTTATATACTCTTTTGTATCTTTTGTTGGACTTTCCTCTGCACATTGCGTCGATCTGCTTCACATCTAGTGAATGTAATGTCCAGTAGTACTTCATAGTACTTCCAGGTGCTTCCATGCTTTTCGGAAACTGGTGACGCTGTCCTTCAGAGCCTTTGGAGCATTTAGAGTCATGTCCATCGTTGAATCGTCCAATGCAAAAATTCAAAATCATAAAATCATATGCTGTATATTATAGTAAACAAATACATAGAGTACATACAGTACATACCAGTACATACTAGTACACACCAGTACATACCAGTACATACCAGTACATACCAGTACATACCAGTACATACCAGTGCATACCAGTGCATACCAGTTCATACAGTATTAAAAGAAGAAAAAACATTGCATAGCTAGGGAAAAACTGAACACTCGGCGTCCAAGGCAGCGCTCGCCTCCGCAATCGGTCTGAGTGCCTTGAGCAAGTCATCGCGGGATATCTTTCGCCTTGGGAACTCACGAAGCCAGCAACCCGCAAACGAACATCCGAAACATCCAAGTGCCTACTCTTCACTTCCCTGCACTTCCCTGCACTTTCTGTCACTTCCCCAATTTACCCGAATATTTTTCAGCCGGATATCTTGGGTTCGTGCTGGGATTCCGCCAAGCCGGTGATGAACAAAGTTCGCAAAGCCTTTTGCGGCTTGTCCTCAGACTTAGAAACATTCAGAAGCCATGGTCAACTTTGGTCCAAATAGAAAACAAACATATATGAGTATATGCATATGTATTTGTATGTGTATATGTAGTATGTGTATGTGTATATGTATTTGTATGTGTATATGTATGTGTATGTGTATATGTATATGTATACGTATATGTATGTATGTATATGTATATGTATATGTATATGTATGTGTATTTGTATCTGTATATGTATGTGTATGTGTATATGTCTATGTATGTGTATGTGTATATGTACATGTATGTGTATATTTATATGTATGTGTATATGTATCTGTATACGTATATGTATATGTATATGTATGTTTATATTTAAATGTATTTGTTTGTGTATGTATATATATATATGTATATGTATGTGTATGTGTATATGTATATGTATGTGTATATATATATATCTATACACATACGTATATACATACATATATACATACGTACATACATACATACATACATACATCATACTAACATACATACATGCATAAATAACATAACATAACATTACATTCCATTACATACAGTACATACCTACATACTACATACATATATATATATGCGTACGTATATACATACATACATATATACATACATACATACATTACATTACACTACACTACACTACACTACATTACATTACATTACATTAAATTACATTCATTCATTCATACATACATACACATACATTACATACATACATACATACCATACCATACCATACCATACCATACCATACCATACCATACATACCATACATACATACCATACATACCATACATACATTCCATACATACATTACATACATAACATGCATACATACATACATACATACATACATACATTACATAACATTACATAACATTACATAACATTACATAACATTACATAACATTACATAACATTACATAACATTACATAACATTACATAACATACATAACATACATAACATACATGACATACATAACATACATACATACATACATACGTACGTACGTACGTACGTACATACATACATACGTATGTATATACATACGTACATACGTACTTATATACGTATATAAATAGACATATGTACATACATACGTACATACATACATACATACATACATACATACATACGTATGTATATACATACGTACATACGTACTTATATACGTATATAAATAGACATATGTACATACATACGTATATACGTATATAAATATACATATGCATATACATGTGTATATATATATATATGTGTGTATATGACAATTACAGTAACCGCCAAATGGTGTTCAGAAAGACTCCCGGGCTGTCCTTTGTTTGAGACTCATTGGCCTCAAAGCGCTTCAAAAGGACATTCTTGAACGCGGCAAAACTCTGATAGTGATGGAGTGCACCAAAAAACATGTGTTCACGTCATGTCATGGCTTCCCACCGTGCCTCCACAGATGCAGGCAGAGTGTCATCGAAGTCTTCCTCAAATGCCTGGTTTGACGATCAAGTGCATTGCAGTCATGGCACCGTGCAAATGTGGTGCAACCGTTGGGCCTCAAGTTCCTTGCTCTCTTGTATGTCGGACTCTCCTCCTGTGCATTACATTAATTGGATTTCACTCTCTGCGCTTGAAGCATTGCAACTTTGATCTTGCCTGCATCGGCATCCAGTTGAGGTATTCTGGCACGTACAAGTGAAAATTTCTCCACCAAACGCGACAGCTGCTCTGTCTGATGCCTGACAGGTTACACGCAAGCGTAAACCTGCCAAAAGTCATTCACAGCACTAAGTGCGACTTAATCCGATTTGGGGCGCAAGGACTGAAACTGAGAAGGGGTCAAGTCAAAGTGTTCAAGTTGCAGGAAGAGTACTATGCTTGCTTGATTCTTAGAATTCTTAGAGTTCATTGGAGATGGACTTTGATCATCTGTGGTCAGCTGACGGATTCTGATTTATAGGATACGATAGAGGCAACTTGGCATTTCTAACGGGCGCTTTTTTCCGACTGTTTTTTCGACGTTTAATCGGTTATATAATCACTGTGCGTCTTGCACGTCTTTCTGAGCTGCCGGCTTTGTAAAGACAGAGCGGCTCCTGCAGCCACGTTATGCCGAGGTACTCTACATCGGTGTTGGTGTGCCAAGTATTCCAGGTGTGGAAAACCACCAGTGACAGCAGAAGTGACCACTGTTAAACTGTTATATTGCCAATGGTCGTCAATAAGTGGCAGAAGTTGTGAAGTAGAGCCGAAAAATCCCAAAACAGCTTCTCCTGTCTGAGATTGCCTCTTTGACCTGCTCAACACTGGCTGGTGAACAGACTTGTCGTAAACATTCGTAAATCCTGATAGCTGATTCTGCAAGATCGCACGATCATATAGAAAAAACGACTCCCTGCCGTGTCCCTGGCGTGCCGTGCTTCATATCTTGTATATTGTCATTGCAGTGTGATGAGATTAGACACTCAAACTCGCCTTCACATCCTCTTGCCGGTCCACCCTGAAATTCAAACTTCAAATCAACGGAGTCACAAGAAGGCAAGGATATCTGGTGGGAACATGTGGGAACAAGGGTAAACATGAGCACCTCAAGCAGCAATCACGAGAACAGCCACAGGCGGTCACAGGCCATCACCACAAGGACAACAAAGACTGTGAAGACTGTGACAAAGACTGCAAAGAGTGTGACATAGTGTGACTATCCTGCTGTTGCCGCAGCTACAACAGCAAGTATAGCAGCAGACAAGACGCCCGTACATCAACAGCAACTGAAAGGAAGGACAGGATGAAATTTCCAGCGAAATCCTGGCAAAATTATTCCATGACCGCGTTGAAGGCATGTCAACATGATATAACATGATGAAATAACATTAAATAGGTACAACATGGTGCAACTGCTCCGTTGCATGTCTGGAATTCACTTGTTCACTGAGGTCGCAGCAGCACCGTTCTGCCAAGGTGAATGCCACGGTTTAGCACTCGCATGATCTTCTCCTACCAGGGATCAAGCTCGGATCAATGTGAGACGAAGTTTGCAACAAGCAGGTCACAAGCATATTAGCAGTTTACCACGGCAGCATGTTGGGCATGTTGGTCTGTGAACGTCTTTGATGATTTGTGTATCAAACTCTGGATGTCGATACTCTCCGCACTGACCTTCTGTGTGGTTGTTAACTTCTTCAAGACCTGCAGAGACAAAGAAACAATTGAAAATTGAAACTCGCTCAAGGAGTAAAAGCCACTAGAGAAAGAAACAGCTTTGCCAATGTCTGAACGATCCTGCCTGCTTCGAATCCAGGCCAAGCAAGGTCTGGACCATCAAATTCCTGGTACAGTAGGACAGCACAAGGGAAACTGCGGTGACAGCAGACCAGGATGGACGAGTCCTGATGTCTGGACTCAAGGATCCAAAGTAGTGCTGGTCTTGGCTGAGGAAGCTTTCCTGAAATCATTCAAGCTCCTTAAAGAGGATCAACCAGGATCAACCTTAGGATCCTTCTCAAACTCTCGGGCCCTCACCAGATCAGGCACATCCTCCTGGTCATTGTCCTGTGCAGATTGTTTCAGATAGTGGGAAGGTAGGCAGCGCATTTCAGATTGTCCAGCAATATCCAGCAACAGCAACCTCCTGAGGACTGCAACAGACTGCAGCAGTTAGTTGCACTCAGGACGAGCTCGAGTATGGGTCACAGGTGGTTGTGGTGGTTGTGGTGCTTGTGCAGGTGATGACATGCACAAGCCCTCTCTTGAGCGACTATGCCCAAGCCCTTGCTCGTGATTTATCCCGGAAAACAAGGACAGCAAACCACAATGTTAGTCGAGCATAGGCAGCATAGGTATGTAAGTAGCTCTTCCACTATCTCGCGCAAAGAAAACACTCTTTCGCGACATGCTCAGGTCCCAAGCTCAACCGAGCTCAAGTTCAGTCTTGACAATTTCAAGTCACGCGCATCCTGAAGGTCCGAAGCGCAACCAGCGCTACAGCCGTGAGTTAAAGCAATCTAAACGGAGATCTGATTCTTTTTGGAGATCTCGCTAGTGCATTGTCAAGTTCTGCAACAACTACTGAGTCTGCAGGAACGCTTGCTCACATACGCGAACACACACCTAGTAAGTCCTAAGTCCTAGGACAATCTGTCCTGCAGGCTGGAACTTTCGCACATGCCATTAGTCTGGAAGTTTTTCTATATAGAAAAGACTTGCTACTAATTGCGCTCAAAATTTGGCAGGAGAAAATGCAGCTGGTCAAACGAGAACACATTATATACTCGCATCAGCATCCTGGACGACACACTACTCGGTACCTTCTGACCACGCTTTTTGTCGGTTGAGAGGGAACATGCGCAGTGGGGATATTCCAAGCACAAAGCGAAGACATGGAATCTGAGCAGCAAGGACCTTGCACAACGTGATCTGTGTATATCGTCAGTGTTTTGTTGAAGTATCTGTCTTGTTCTTCCGGGGTGTACTATGGTGTGCTCCAAGCTGCTGCACTCCAAAGCTGACGAGCACATTGTGGAACACCAGATCTTCATAGATCATCCAGCTACAAAGGAATGCCAAGGAACCCAGGAAATTATTGGGGCACAAACAGGTTCATACTGAATCAAGGTCCGAGACCCACGTGCGCAGAACGGCCCATCTGTCAGAGCTAATTTAATTCAAATGTGCGTGTGGATGTTGTGGATGCTGTGGATGTATGCAGCATTACGATGCACTATGCATGTCCAACGTGGAAGTTGACCTCAACTGATGCTGACAGAAACCACTCTTTCTCACAGGGCCTGCAGAATCTGATTTCTCATCTCCAACAAGGACCTCAGAGCGTATAATATGACAATGAATGATCATGAATGACCATGAATGACCATGAGTGACCAGGGAGGTTGACAATATCACGAGCAAGGCGACAACGCAAAGCAGCGTAAGCTTAGCATTAGACTGCTTCCATTCGGCAAAGGCTTCCTTTCTATCGCGCCACCTCCAATCGGCAACGATTGCCCTAGCAAAAGGAAAAAACTGCATACACAATGCATATAAACATGTTGTATATCTATATATATATATTACAGTCATTATTAGAGTATACATTTTTGCTCGATGCCCACCGACCCTCCAATGCTTGCTTCTCATCAGAGCCTCTCGAGAATTTGCATCATTGACTCGGCCTGCCATCACCATGAAACAGCCTGTACCTACAAGTACCTACAAGTACCTACAAGCACCTACAAGTACCTACAAGTACCTACAAGTACCTACAAGTACCTACAAGTACCTACAAGTACCTACAAGTACCTACAAGTACCTACAAGTACCTACAAGTACCTACAAGTACCTACAAATTACAAGATATGAGCACTGGTTTTCAGCAAGATTGAGAGAACATGAGAAAGTTTGGGCGAGCATGGAGCTCCGCTACAAAAGGAGCCAAACCGTTCTCAACCAATCTGACTGCAAAGGACTTCAGGCGACACAAATTGCAAGGTAAGTACTCAAGTTTATCTGGAAGACAAAATCTACAGCATTGGGAGCCCATCACAGGGCACTCAACAGCTTGCTAATGTGTTCACTTTCTGTACTGCGCATTGCGGCCTTGTTTTCTGGTTTGCCTGTTGTTTCTTGATGTTTTGGTGGTGCCGTTGTAGCCTTGGGTCACTGTGGCTCTATATGAACAAGTCCTTGCAGTTTGTCTGCGCATCTCAAACACAACATATTCTGTAGCCAACAACAAACCTACATCTTAAGTATACATATTTTTCTCAAAAAAATGCACTTTACATAATATATATATATATATATGTGTGTATGTGTGCATTACATCACATCACCACTACCACCTTTGGTACCGTTACAATTGCCACCACCGATAGTGTTACCATTTCCGTTGCCATTAGCATCACCATCAGCATTACCACTACCGGGTCACTACCGTTACCACTACCACTGCCACTACCGTTGCCACTAATTATATACATGCATACCATTACATACCGCTACATTCCCGTACAGGCCGTTGCATACCGATACATACTGTTACATACCATTACATACCGTTACATATCTTTATATACATACCATTACATACCGTTACATTCCGTTACATACCGTTACATACAGTTAAATACCATTACACACCATTGCACCCATTACACACCATTACACACCATTACACACCAGTACATACCACTACACACCAGTACATACCACTACATACGGTTACATGCCCTTACATACCCTTACATACCGTTGCATATTATTACATTCCATTTCATAGCGTTACATACCGTTACATGCCGTTGCATAGCGCTGCATACCATTCCATGCCACTACATACAATGACATATCATTCTATTCCCTTACATTACCTTATGTACGTTACATACATACATACATACATACACACACACACATACATACATACATACATACATACATACATACATACATACATACATACATACATACATACATTGCATACATACATTGCATACATACATACATACATACATACATCCATGCATGCATGCATGCATGCATGCATGCATAAATACATTCATGCATACAGGCATACATACATACATACATGCATACATGCATACATGCATACATGCATACATGCATACATGCATACATGCATACATGCATACATGCATACATGCATACATGCATACATGCATACATGCATAAATGCATACATGCATACATGCATACATGCATACATGCATACATGCATACATGCATACATGCATACATGCATACATGCATACATGCATACATGCATACATGCATACAGGCATACAGGCATACAGGCATACATGCATACATGCATACATGCATACATGCATACATGTATTACATACATACATTGCATTACATGACATGACATGACATTACACTGCATTACACTGCGTTACATTGCATTGCAGTACGTTACATTACATTACATTACATACATGATTATACTTGTGTTGTATAATCATATATATTTATATTTGGTACCCCCCAAGACCCACCCTTTTGCAATTTCTATCGATATTTAGGGTATGTTCAAGCATTTTTTGCCTTTAGAAACTGTACTTGTTTGTTGCCTTGTTCTTTCTATGGTTGTTCTTTTAAAAGAAACTTGGATTCAATCTGCATAGTTGCAGGTGTGCGCTTTGCGTACTAATCCGATTTGTAATTGTGCAACATCTTGCTGAACCTGCTGCTGCTGCTCTTAAAGGATGTGGATGCGCATTACAACCAAAACCTCGAGAACACCAAAAAAACGAAACTTTTCTGAGAATGTTTGGTCTGAAGCTCATGTTGTTTTTTTTGTTTTACCTCAGTTATTTTTGGGGGGGTCTTGACATCTAAAAACCAAAAAACTCAAGGTTTTTTTGTTTTCTGGATAAAATGATGGAATTGAACTGGTAAAAAACACACACACACTTGCTCAGAACAGTCATTGCGAATTCTGATGTGGAATGCATCTGACGTGCAAAAACACCAACGATAAGTTGACACGAAGAATGTACATTTATAAAAATATATAGGCGTATAATCACAGTAGACATTGACCGTATAATAAAAAAAACAATACAATATAGGTCCCCCCCAGCTGCGACTTATATGCGCCCAGAAGCGGGACTATCTATATATAATCCCTGTACGAGTTCACCGGGTCAGGTTGGGGCCTGTGATTCTCTAGTAGAAAATGTAAGTTGTATAAATTAGGGACCCAAGACAATCTAGCAACAGACATCAAATCAACTTGAGGTATCCTAGAAAAATGGCAACGTACAAGAAGTGCATTTTCGAAGCTATGTTTAGCATTTTTCCTTAGAAAAACGCCGCCGTACTTGAATTGCATAGTTTTGCAATTACGGTATCAAACATGTTGAAAACCACTTCAAGTTACTGCTACCTTTTTTATAGAGCCCAACATCCAACCCAGTGTGCGGTTTCGAATTTTTCGATCGAGCTTTTCGAAAATGCCCAGTTCATTGGACGTATCACCCCTTAATAGTCGCCCGGGACAGCCCACAAGGTTGTAAAATTATGTTGTTTGTTTGTCGGTGGCTCCTGATTGACTCTTCAAAAAATATACACAAAAGGATGCGAAATTTCATAGGTTTTGAAAGAGAGAGAAATGTTGTTCATGACATGTTGCTGGAAATCATGGCTAGTTAAAAGGAAAATCATGTCGAGTGGTTGGGGTTCTTCAAGCTATATGGACGGTTCGAGTTGAAAACTGATATCTTGCTGTACCAGCATGGCAGGCCAAAAAATGCAAAATGGCTGCACACAGGCTCAAACCACGGGAATATGTAATTCTTGTCAAGATAGTCGTTTGCGCAAAAAACTTGGCGACTTGGGCAAACACGAGAACTAAAAAGAAAAGGTGGAAGTTCCAAGATGGTTAGGTATCCGCCTTTATACAATTCAGCTGATCCCCCCCGGCATCGATTTTCTAGATCGAAAACGGGTGGTCGCAAACCGCCACCCCAAGGTGCCTCTATATAGAATATTGAAGTGATTGGATCAAAATCAAAATGACATCTAGTAAATCAAATGGGAAAATTGTTTCATGCACGCTTCAAGAAAGGTGATTTTTCTAAGAAACCTAATGCGCTGAGGGATTATAAAACCACATGTTTTTACCTACCCCATGTGCTTCAATATTCTTGGCATCCAATAGGTTTATATCTCACACCAATCACTTTGATTCCCTAGAGGTCCAAACAATCCATCGAAAGAAACACAAATAAAAGAAACAAATTACTCTTTCTAACTTCAGCTGCGCTTAAAATCATTCACAGAGAACGCAATGAGAATAAACATACCAGGGATTTGATTTTCTAAAGGCTCCCACATGTGGGACCCCCAGGAGTTCCACTTTCTAAAGGTCCTCTGGGTGGAGAGCGCCTAGCACGTGTAGAAAAAACCACCTAATATGTGTCGAAACAAATGCCTGTTTCGTGGCCTCCCCCGCCCACTGATTTAATAGGGGAAATTCCACCGGGGATGGTTGGATTGAGGTTGTGAAGCTATGGCAAAATCCAAGGTAGGGCTAAAATATGCCAAAATCATCCGCTCCAGCTCGGGGGCTTCGGCCCATTTTAAATGCTCGAAAGGGGATTGTGAAAGATTGCCTCTCTAGAAAATCAAGGACCACTAGAAATCTATGAACGTCTCCCAGACATGCTAAAATTATGCTTCAGGATTTTGGGCACCTAAACTCTCCAGAAAATCAGCATCTTACGACTCAGAGGTCTCCAAAAGTTGTTCTTTAGAAAACTGGAGGAACTTCGAAAGCATCATTTCAGCAAATGCGAGCTTTTCCAAGGACAGAAAATCAACCCTCCTTAGGGGGGGTTAGCCCCCCTGAAATCCTAGAGGAGATTCATACCGGTATTATACATATATATATATATATATACAGTATATATGTATGTATGTATGTATATATATATATATAGTCGCAGGTACAGGAAACCGGCCACGTTTCCCATCCCACTCATGTCCACAGCTTCATTGCGTGTGGTAGGACATGAGTGCCACATGCCCCTGCAGCATAATGAAGTTTTACATCTATACAGGTGGTACACACACAAGGCTTTTTTGATTTTTCATTACACGGCCAAGAAGAAAGTAAAGCCAAAAGCATCCAAAAACCAAAGGAAGACTGCACTTCTCCAGAAAGGAACACTGCATGTTTAGCGGAATGCTCTATATTTTGCAGGGATGCTTCTGTAAAGGGCTCTTCTTTTTTGCTTTGTTCTTTATTTTTGTCTACATTTTCCCGAGAGCGTCTGAGCGCAGGGTTCTTCCAATAGTGGGGGGTCTGTATCTCATCTTCTCATCCTCACATCTTCTCATCTTCACATCTTCTCATCCTCACATCTTCTCATCTTCACATCTTCTCATCTTCACATTTTCTCATCCTCACATCTTCTCCTCTTCACATCTTCTCTTCTCATCCTTACATCTTCTCATCTTCACATCTTCTCATCTTCACATCTTCACATCTCTCATCCTCAGATCTTCTCATCTTCTCATCTTCACATCTTCTCATCTTCTCATCTGCTCATCTTCACATCTTCACATATTCACATCCTCATCTTCACATCTTCACATATTCACATCCTCACATCTTCACATCTTCTCATCTTCACATCTTCTCATCTTCACATCTTCTCATCTTCACATATTCTCATCTTCACATCTTCACATCTTCACATCTTCACATCTTCTCACCTTCACATCTGCTCATCTTCACATCTTCACATCTGCTCATCTTCACATCTTTTCATCCTCACATCTTCACATCTTCACATCCTCACATCTTCACATCTTCTCCTCTTGCCCTCTTGCCCTTGCCCTCTTGCCCTCACATCTTCACATCTTCTCCTCTTGCCCTCTTGCCCTCTCCTTCTTTCTATTTCTCTCTTGAAGGCGGGGGCAGGGGCAGTGCCAACGAGACGGCACGAAACGCAACCCTTTCGCACGAAATGAGGTTCGATCGCCAAAAACTGCGGTAAAATTGCGATTTGCAAGTCGTCCCGCGCAACCCTTTCGCACGAAATGAGGTTCGATCGCCAAAAACTGGTGTAAAATTGCGATTTCAACTTGTCCCGCGCAACCCTTTCGCACGAAATGAGGTTCGATCGCCAAAAACTGCAAAAACTGCGGTAAAATTGCGATTTCAACTTGTCCCGCGCAACCCTTTCGCACGAAATGAGGTTCGATCGCCAAAAACTGCAGTAAAATTGCGATTTCAACTTGTCCCGCGCAACCCTTTCGCATGAAATGAGGTTCGATTGCCAAAAACTGCGGTAAAATTGCGATTTGCAAGTCGTCCCGCGCAACCCTTTCGCACGAAATGAGGTTCGATCGCCAAAAACTGCGGTAAAATTGCGATTTCGACTTGTCCCGCGCAACCCTTTCGCACGAAATGAGGTTCGATCGCCAAAAACTGAGGTAAAATTGCGATTTCAACTTGTCCCGTGCAACCCTTTCGCATGAAATGAGGTTCGATCGCCAAAAACTGAGGTAAAATTGCGATTTCTTCTGTGTGTAAACGTGTCTGTGTAAAAACTTCTGTGTGCTGTTTGTGTGTAAAAGTGTCTGTATGTAAAAGTGTCTGTGTGTAAAAGCTTCTGTGTGTAAAAGCGTCTGTGTAAAAGCATCTGTGTGTAAAAGCTTCTGTGCGTAAAATCTTCTGTGTGTAAAAGCCTCTGTGTGTAAAGGCGTCTGTGTGTAAAGCCGTCTGTGTGTAAAAGTGTTTGTGTGTAAAAGCGTTTGTGTGTAAAAGCGTCTGTGTGTAAAACCGTCTGTGTGTAAAAGCGTCTGTGCGTAAAAGCGTCTGTGCGTAAAAGCTTCTGTGCGTAAAAGCGTCTGCGTGTAAAAGCTTCTGTGCGTAAAAGCTCCTGTGTGTAAAAGGGTCTGCGTGTAAAAGTGTTTGTGTGTAAAATCGTCTGTGCGTAAAAGCGTCTGTGCGTCAAAGCGTCTGTGTGTAAAAGCGTCTGTGTGTAAAAGCTTCTGTGTGTAAAAGCGTCTGTGTGTAAAAGCTTCTGTGTGTAAAAGCTTCTTTGGGTAAAAGCTTTTGTGTGTAAAAGCGTCTGTGTAAAAGCTTCTGTGTGAAAAGCGTCTGTGTGTAAAACTGTCTGTGCGTAAAAGCGGCTGTGTGTAAAAGTGTCTGTGTGTAAAAGTGCCTGTGTGTAAAAGCGTCTGTGTGTAAAAGTGTCTGTGTGTAAAAGCTTCTGTGTGTAAAAGCTTCTGTGTGTAAAAGCTTCTGTGTGTAAAAGCGTCTGTGTGTAAAAGCTTCTGTGTTTAAAAGTGTTTGCGATGCAAACTGTTGTCTTGTACTTGTGCTATATTGTCTTGATACTCCTCTTCTCGTCTGCCTATAACACATCTTTAATATTTTGTTTTGTAATATGGTGTCTCCATACTAACAAGAGAAGATCCTGCTCCTCTACGCTCTCGGGCCATCCGTCGTCTAGTTCCACTTTTTTGGAAGGATATCTCTAGCTATATATATATATACTACATATACATGTGTATATGTTATCTTTGTGGCATTTTTCATCTGAAAAGGTGGGTCTTGGAAAGGGGGGGTGCATACCATATGCACATACATCAAATATGCGCGTACACTATCATACACCCAGACAGAGTCAGGAGGCAGAACTGGCAAAGTTGCAATAGTGGGCCCACAGAAACAGGGGGCCAGCAAGTAAACAGTGAACATGGGATGAAGAGAAATGCACACTTTGGTGACAATCACCTATGACTAATCATAGCTATTGGACTATGCGCGAAGAAAAGCTAAGGCTGATATTGCTCAAGGATATTTGTCAGTGCATCTGATGTGTCGAATGATCCATGGTCGATAAAGGCGAAATGTGCACCTGGCGAAGCAGCTGCTGGTGCGGCAGGTAGCTCCGAAGGGAACGAGCTCGCTTCAGCTCTGCCTCACACATAATCATCCAAATCCAAATCCAAGGCCCGAGAACTGCACCAAAGAGTTTTGGAGAAATATGGCAAGAATTGATGATAAACAAACTTACCAAACCATTCAAATCATACAATTGATTCAACATGAATTAACAATCATATGATATCATATTGGTTGTCAACACAAAACCACAAGAAGATCTGGACGTCTGAGAACGCTGCTTGCAGGCGGAAAAGCAAGTTCGATGCGCGATGAATAGTCAGTCTGCTGTTTCTTTGCAAGTCCTCTCAAAAAGAAAGAAACATCATAATTGCTTACCTTCTCGACAGGTCCGTAGACAGCAATGGATCTGACTCTTGAAAATGTCAAGAAAACGTTCGAAATGAAATAGCCAAGCAAAGAGTGACCGATGCAGTGACGGGAATGTTTTAGATTGTTCGTCTGCACTACCTCTGGCCAAAAGCCAATATCTACTGCGAAATCATAGGTTCACTACTCCACTTGATGTGACTCATCTTGACACTTGGTGCTCCGGATCTCTGAAGCCCCCACTGCAAAGGCTTTGTCACATCTTGTCACAGCTTGTCACATCTTGCCATCTTTGTCTGCTCCTCGAACTCATCCAGAATGGCTTGCAATTCTTGGGACACCGTCTTGGCTTGCTCTCGTAGCACCTTCCGCTTTGGAGACTCCAAGCTGCACCAGTGAGATTTGTTATAATGGCACAGCGACGCACAATGAGGATCACTGAACTTTGCAAGCAACTTCAGCACTGATTCAGCACATCTCAGCAAGTTCGGCATGGTCACTCTCAATCGCCATCCTACTCACCTAGTCTGAGAATTCTGAGAATCGCCAGCTGCAGTTGTCATATGTCGTATGACATGTCATAACAGGGTCTAGCTGCAGTTCTTGCAGTTGTCTATCAGATGTCTATCACTGGATTCCAGTGACCTGAGTCTCTGCTTCTTTCCGCTGCTGCTTTTCCCATTTGGGATCATCCAAAGTCACTACCACCACGTCACTCCACTCCCCCCAGCCTTGGCAAGTGAACACACAATCGTTGTGAGATTAGCATTCACAGAGATCTCAAAAAAGTGGCGACATTGGCAGTTTCACGTGATGTTTTTGGGTATTTTGGTACTTCATGCACTAGTTTGCAAACTTGGACATTCCGGAACTTTGGTCCTCCTTTTATCGAGGCGTTGATGTGTGTTCTTGGGCTGTTTCGGATCTCAGGTATGGACCAATGCTATTTCTGGCTCTGACCATGAACTCGTAAGATCCGACAGGGAAGGGCCCCAAAGACACCTTGGACAATTATGGCTCCAATGCATATCTGTCCATCTTGTCTGTCTTGACAATTGTGCACCTAGAAATGTTTGAATGCGCAAAACAGGGAATACTATGGAATATCTTGATCTTATAATTTTGACACTACCTTGACTCCACATGCCCAATTTGTGCCAATCCTGGATCCTTAGACTCCTCGACTGAGATACCCATCCCCCAAAACAATTACACCAACGATGGGCTCAGGCATCCACGCTGCTTTCCCAACCATGGTAGACCTCATCCCATGCCTCTGAGCTTTTCCCAATTGCCTCACATTTGTCACATGACTTTAAAACCAGGATGCCATGAGGTCCCATGGGACGCAGAACAAGGTTTGATGTTTGAAGCTTCCACAAGTGGCCGCTTGGAAATGCGTGGAAAACCGTGAAAGAAAAGGTGCCAAACTCGGAGTATCAGGTACGGGCCTGGACTCGCAATTCGTACTCGATGCGCTCTGCAGATGCGAATGCGGTCTTGCACATCCACTCGATGTCAATCCAACACCTCGAAGTCTTAAACGAACCATTGACGCAACAAACAGGCCAAAGGAAATTGGGTTTAAAGCCAAAAGCCGCAAATGCAAATGACACCCCTTGAAAACTCTCACTCTTGCACGACACTTTATTGGAACCTACTAAAGCACACTCCTCTAGAACCGGTTTTCTGCCAAACGTCTCTTCGTGCAGCCAGTACAATGCAAAAGCCACAGCCGACTTGCGGGTGTCCCGGGACTCCCCTCAAGTGAAACTACAGAAACCTTCCCAAGAGGCGCGCTTGCTACCGATCTGCCGCGCACCAGCAAAAAGAGAAACCATGACAACCGCAAACACAAACACGTTCGAAGTGCTACGCCTTCCGCAAAATTTGGAGACGCCCTTCACCCAAGTACTACGCCCGCTGCACAAACATTGCAGAATTGACACCACGTTGACACAAGATCTCCCTTGCCTGTCACACTACAAAGGGGCCCATGCAATGCCACTTTTCTGGCACCCTCCACCGAGAAGTTTTGTGACCACAGAGGTAGTTGCGAATGGATGCGGACCTTTGCGAACGGGAAAAAAACATACCCCTTCGAATTAGGGGGGTGGGGTTGGAGCCACCCATTTAGTAGTGGCCCCGGTATTTTTCTCTACAAAATGAATCTACAAAATGGGCTGCCTGGAAATTTCTCTACAAAGTGCCTGGCCTTGGATAGGTTTTTTCACTACAAAATGAGTGCTGAAAATGGGTTAAAACAGGGTTGATTTTATTTTTTTTTCATCAAAATGGTTTTCGAAGGTTGTTTTCAACCATTTTGTATGGGAAATTCAAAGGAGGATAAAAAAAAAAAAACACTCCAGCCTCCACAAACGCCTCTACGCACCACCACCCCTCCCAGACCTCCCCGATCGTGTAAACCGAAAACCTTTGCAGCAAGGTAGGTCGAATCTGAGATCCCCAACTCCCACATATTACTTAGCTGGCGGAGGCTGCCATATTGATGTGTGTGTGTGTACGCATGAGTCTATACATACATACCTACTTACATACCTACGTACATACCTACATACATTACATGCATGAAACGCATTACACACATTACACACATTACAAGCATTACAAACATTACATAACATACATACCACACATACCACACATGCCACACATACCATACATACCATACATATCATACATACCATACATACCATACCTGAGAAGGGGGAAACGAAAGCCAGCATCCCATCTATCCCTATGTTCCCCAATATTTTTCACCCAGAGACTCTTCACCCAGAAACCCTTCTTGCACATACTTTTCACCCAGAGACTCTTCACCCAGAAACTCTTCTTGCACATACTTTTCACCCATAGACTTTCACCCACAGACTCTTCATCCAGAATCCTTCTTGCACATACTTTTCACCCATATACTTTTCACCCAGAGACTCTTCACCCAGAAACTCTTCCTGCACATACTTTTCACCCATATACTTTTCATCCAGAGACTCTTCACCCAGAAACTCTTCTTGCACATACTTTTCACCCATATACTTTTCACCCAGAGACTCTTCACCCATAAACTTTCTTGCACATACTTTTCACCCAGAAACTCTTCGTGCAAATGCTTTTCACCCATATACTTTTCACCCAGAGACTCTTCACCCAGAAACTCTTCTTGCACGTACTTTTCACCCATATACTTTTCACCCAGAGACTCTTCACCCAGAAACTCTTCTTGCAAACTCTTCTTGCACATACTTTTCACCCATATGCCTTTGACCCAGAGACTCTTCACCCAGAAACCCTTCTTGCACATACTCTTCACCCATATACTTTTCACCCAGAAACCCTTCTTGCACATACTTTTCACTCATATACTTTTCACCCAGAGACTCTTCACCCAGAAACTCTTCTTGCACATACTTTTCACTCATATACTTTTCACCCAGAAACTCTTCTTGCACATACTTTTCACCCATATACTTTTCACCCAGAGACTCTTCACCCAGAAACTCTTAACCCAGAAACTCTTCTTGCATAGATTTTTCACCCAGAGACTCTTCACCCAGAAACTCTTCTTGCACATACTTTTCACCCATATACTTTTCACCCAGAGACTCTTCACCCAGAAACTCTTCTTGCACATTCTTTTCACCAATATACTTTTCACCCAGAGACTCTTCACCCAGAAACTCTTCTTGCACATACTTTTCACCCATATACTTTTCACCCAGAGACTCTTCACCCAGAAACTCTTCTTGCACATACTTTTCACCCATATACTTTTCACCCAGAGATTCTTCACCCAGAAACTCTTCTTGCACATACTTTTCACCAATACACTTTTCACCCAGAGACTCTTCACCCAGAGACTCTTCTTGCACATACTTTTCACCCATATACTTTCATCCAGAGACTCTTCACCCAGAAACTCTTTTTGCACATACTTTTCACCCGTATACGTTTCACCCAGAGACTCTTCACCCAGAAACTCTTCTTGCACATACTTTTCACCCAGAAATGCTTTTCACCCATATACTTTTCACCCAGAGACTCTTCACCCAGAATGCACATACTTTTCACCCATATACTTTTCACCCAGAGACTCTTCACCCAGAAAGCACATACTTTTCTATACTTTTCACCCAGAGCACATACTTTTCACCCATATACTTTTCACCCAGAAACTCTTCTTGCACATGCTTTTCACCCATATACTTTTCACCCAGAGACTCTTCACCCAAACTCTTCTTGCACATACTTTTCACCCATATACTTTTCACCCAGAGACTCTTCACCCAGAAACTCTTCTTGCACATATTATACTTTTCAGAGACTCTTCCCAGAAAGGCTCTTCACCCAGAAACATTTACTTTTCACCCAGAGACTCTTCACCCAGAAACTCTTCTTGCACATACTTTTCACCCATATACTTTTCACCCAGAGACTCTTCACCCAGAAACTCTTCTTGCACAGACTTTTCACCCATATACTTTTCACCCAGAGACTCTTCACCCAGAAACTCTTCTTGCACATACTTTTCACCCATATACTTTTCACCCAGAGACTCTTCTTGCACATACTTTTCACCCATATACTTTTCACCCAGAGACTCTTCACCCAGAAAATCTTCTTGCACATACTTTTCACCAATATACTTTTCACCCAGAGACTCTTCACCTAGAAACTTTTCTTGCACATATTTTTCACCCATATACTTTCACCCAGAGACTCTTCTTGCACCTACTTTTCCCCCATATACTTTTCACCCAGAGACTCTTCACCCAGAAACTCTTCTTGCACATACTTTTCACCCATATACTTTTCACCCAGAGACTCTTCTTGCACATACTTTTCACCCATATACTTTTCACCCAGAGACTCTTGCAACCCAGAAACCCTCTTCTTGCACATACTTTTCACCCATATACCCAGAGACTCTTCACCCAGAAACTCTTCTTGCACATACTTTTCACCCATATACTTTTCACCCAGAGTTCACCCAGAAACTCTTCTTGCACATACTTTTCACCCATACACTTTTCACCCAGAGACTCTTCACCCAGAAACTCTTCTTGCACATACTTTTCACCCATATACTTTTTTCACCCAGAGACTCTTCACCCAGAAACTCTTCTTGCACATACTTTTCACCAATATACTTTTCACCCAGAGACTCTTCACCTAGAAACTCTTCTTGCACATACTTTTCACCCATATACTTTTCACCCAGAGACTCTTCACCCAGAAACCCTTCTTGCACATACTTTTCACCCAGAGACTCTTCACCCAGAAACTCTTCTTGCACATACTTTTAACCCATATACTTTTCACCCAGAGACTCTTCACCCAGAAACTCTTCTTGCACATACTTTTCACCCATATACTTTTCACCCAGAGACGCTTCACCCAGAAACTCTTCTTGCACATACTTTTCACCCATATACTTTTCACCCAGAGACTCTTCACCCAGAAACTCTTCTTGCACATACTTTTCACTCATATACTTTTCACCCAGAGACTCTTCGCCCAGACTTTTCACCCAGAAACTCTTCACCCAGAAACTCTTCTTGCACATACTTTTCACCCATATACTTTTCACCCAGAGACTCTTCACCCAGAAACTCTTCTCGCACATACTTTTCACCCATATACTTTTCACCCAGAGACTCTTCACCCAGAAACTCTTCTTGCACATACTTTTCACCCACATACTTTTCACCCAGAGACTCTTCACCCAGAAACTCTTCTTGCAAATACTTTTCGCCCATATACTTTTCACCCAGAGACTCTTCACCCAGAAACTCTTCTTGCACATACTTTTCACCCATATACTTTTCACCCACTCTTCACCCAGAAACTCTTCTTGCACATACATGTCACCCATATACTTTTCACCCAGAGACCCTTCACCCAGAAACTCTTCTTGCACATACTTTTCACCAATATACTTTTCACCCAGAGACTCTTCACCCAGAAACTCTTCTTGCACATACTTTTCACCCATAAACTTTTCACCCACAGACTCTTTACCCAGAAACTCTTCTTGCACATACTTTTCACCCATATACTTTTCACCCAGAGACTCTTCACCCAGAAACCCTTCTTGCACATACTTTTCACCCATATACTTTTCAACCAAAGACTCTTCTTGCAGATACTTTTCACCCATATACTTTTTACCCAGAGACTCTTCACCCAGAAACTCTTCTTGCACATACTTTTCACCCAGATACTTTTCATCCAGAGACTCTTCATCCGGAAACTCTTCTTTTACATAGGTTTCACCCAGAGACCCTTCACCCAGAAACTCTTCTTGCACAGACTCTTCACCCAGAGACTCTTTACCCAGAAACATACTTTTCACCCTTTTTCTTTTCACCCATAGACTCTTCACCCAGAAACTCTTCTTGCACATACTTTTCACCCATATACTTTTCACCCAGAGACTCTTCACCCAGAAACTCTTCTTGCGCATACTTTTCGCCCATAAACTTTTCACCCACAGACTCTTCACCCAGAAACTCTTCTTGCACATACTTTTCACCCATGTACTTTTCACCCAGAGACTCTTCACCCAGAAACTCTTCTTGCGCATACTTTTCACCCATATACGTTTCACCCCGAGACTCTTCACCCAGAAACCCTTCTTGCACATACTTTTCACCCATATACTTTTCACCCAAAGACTCTTCTTGCAGATACTTTTCACCCATATACTTTTTACCCAGAGACTCTTCACCCAGAAACTCTTCTTGCACATACTTTTCACCCATATACTTTTCACCCAGAGACTCTTCACCCAGAAACTCTTCTTGCACATACTTTTCACCCATATACTTTTCACCCAGAGACTCTTCACCCAGAAACTCTTATTGCACAGACTTTTCACCCAGAAACTCTTCTTGCACATACTTTTCACCCATATACTTTTCACCCAGAGACTCTTCACCCAGAAACTCTTCTTGCACAGACTTTTCACCCAGAAACTCTTCTTGCACATGCTTTTCACCCATATATTTTCACCCAGAGACTCTTCACCCAGAAACGCTTCTTGCACATACTTGTCACCCATATACTTTTCACCCAGAGACTCTTCACCCAGAAACTCTTCTTGCACATACTTTTCACTCATATACTCTTCACCCAGAAACTCTTCTTGCACATACTTTTCACCCATATACTTTTCACCCAGGGACTCTTCACCCAGCAACTCTTCTTGCACATACTTTTCACCCATATACTTTTCACCCAGAGACTCTTCACCCAGAAACTCTTCTTGCACATACTTTTCACCCATATACTTTTCACCCACAGACTCTTCACCCAGAAACTCTTCTTGCACATACTTTTCACCCATATACTTTTCACCCAGAGACTCTTCACCCAGAAACTCTTCTTGCGCAGACTTTTCACCCATATACTTTTCACCCCGAGACTCTTCACCCAGAAACCCTTCTTGCACATACTTTTCACCCAATGTCCTTCTCTCTCCATTCTCCTCTAACTAGCTGGCCCATCTATCTGTCCATTGACTGAGCCCAGAAAACCCCAGAAAACCGGACCTAGGGGGAATCGATACCCACCGTCACTGTTTTGCGGCCTGGTACATTACCCTGCAAAACCATACTTGCGTCTACCTAAAATTACCACCTATTTTCCCGGTTTTTGACCCGTTTGGCAACTAACCCCCCCCAGACCCCCTATTCTCACTTCGTTCGCAAATAGCAACTAGCCAGCTTCCCGGCTGGCTTTCGTAACAATACAATACCATACCATACAATAAAATACAATAGCATACCATACAATAAAATACAATACCATACCATACCATACAATACAATACAATACATACATACAGACAGACATACATAACATAACATAACATAACATAACACTTGAGGCCGGGGGTGGATGACGAAAGCTAGCGGGGTAGGAGAAAGAAGGAAGGGAAGAGGTGAGTTGCGGAGGGACTGTCATCATCGTGTCGCGGCATTGTTCGTCCCAACGAGGATGCAACAATGATATATTGATATATGATATATAACAATGATATATATAGGGGGAGGGGGCAGGGGGGGGCCCTTTCGCGGGAAAAATCACGTGATGTCCTTGGGGAGCCCCGGAATACGTGCTAAAGCAAGAAGACTCTAGCGAGCTGACGCTAGCTTTCGTGATAATGACAATAATTGCCAATAATGATAAAATGTAATTGAATAACGATGATGATGATGATGATGATGACGATGACGAGGACGCGGACGAGGACGATGGAGAGGACGATGACGATGATGATGACGATGATGATGACGATGATGATGACGATGATGATGATAGATAGATAGATAGATAGATAGATAGATAGATAGATAGATAGATAGATAGATAGATAGATAGATAGATAGATAGATAGATAGATAGACAGACAGATAGATAGATAGATAGATAGATAATGATGATGATGACGAGGATGCTGATGATGATGATGACGATGATGATGACGATGACGATGACGATGACGAGGACGATGACGAGGACGACGATGATGATGATGATGATGATGATGATGATGACGAGGACGTGGACGTGGACGAGGACGAGGACGATGGAGAGGACGATGACGATGATGATGACGATGATGATGACGATGACGATGACGATGATGATGACGATGATGATGATGATGATGATGGTGGTGGTGATGGTGGTGGTGGGGGAGGGGGGGGGGCCCCCTTTCGCGTGAAAAATCACGTGATGTCCTTGAGCAGCCCCCCCAATACTTGCTAAAGCAAGAAGACTCCAGCTAGCTGACGCTAGCTTTCGTGATAACATAACATAACATAACAAAAGAACCCAAAACGCTGTTGCTGCCCTGCGTGTCAACCTGTCAAATCAATATAAGTCAACACAATATGACTCTCCAACACTTTTCGAGATTTGGAATGAGCACAAGAAGGATATGCTGAAGCTGGGCAGTGCTTATTCCTGCAGTGAACATCAATCATATTGTGGTCGCAGTCTCTGGTTTTGCTGCCTTCTGAGCATTATTGTGCTTTGATCGATATCTTGACCCTGTGAAACCCTGTGGTGCTTTCCGTGTCTTTCCCTCAACTGGGACAGTCTGCTGCTCCAGTCGGTCAGAAAACCGCTGTGCTGTGACCACGGGAGCCTTGCCGGGGGCTTGTGGTTGGGAACAGAATTAATTCCGCATTGACATCTGACGGGCCAAGCAACGAGCTCCAAACGTCTACATCAAGTGGGTCAGGTGAGTATGAAAAGCTCTTTGCATGAGGAAGCCTCTATTACAAGAGTACAATACCTGAAAGACATTGCAGGTTCTTGAGACTTCGTGTGTTGAGGATATTCTGCATGTCTTGGCCTGATCTCTCGTTTAGCTTTGCGCTAAAGAAATGTAAGAATGAATATTCTAGATTCTAAATGTCATCTTCTCTTGTCTTTTCTCTTTATGCCTTGTCCGTTCTTCACGTGCAAAGGATGTCCTCTACCAATTCCTTGCGGTCCAAGATGGTCCAAGATGGTCCAAGATGGTCCAAGATCAAGATTTGGCCTTGCACTTGTTCGGAGTGCCCAGCGTCAATGCTTTGATTCTGTCTGGCTTGTCCCACCTTGGCGCGATCATGAGCGTTGCAAGCGCTGCAAGCGTTGCAAGCGTTGCAAGTAATGAGTCATGTGCCATCTGCATCAGCATCGATCTGGTTCGGCTCAAAGCGCTTGTGTTTTGTGCTTCAAGAAATGAGAGCTTGGCGTCTCCTCGTCTCTTCGTTCCTGAAGTTTTTTCTTAGCTCTCTCCACCTGCCATGGATGATCCCCGCCATGCCATCTACCATCAAAAATATCAAAATCCGGCAAAATATTGAAAGCTTGGCTTAAATTATCCTTGTATCATCTTGTATCCTTGTAGTTCTTATATGTTCTTATTACGTAAAGAGAAGCTTTTCAGAAGCCTATGCAAACAGCCTCAAATGGAACCTTTGGTCACTGCCCTGAATCTGCCTCTCATCATACTATGCTCAAGCTGACCTGTGAAACCTTTTGACCGCTGAAAGACCTCGACACCTTCACCGCAACATTCGTGGCACTTGAAGCATGTCTATTACCTCCAATCCAAGAAGCACACCGCATAGGCACATATTGTCATATTGGCATCTCTGAAAAACAAAAAAAGGTGGAAAAATCTCCGCCCAGTTCACATGTTCTCGAGGAGGCTGTCCAGTTTCTTCTTCCCTTTTATCCTCTTTTTTGGCCTGAGGAAAGAGCATCACTTCAAGATTTCCAGCTTTTTGCAGCCCCCTTTTCATCCCTTTTCTGCATGAATTCCGACAGTGACGTCTCCTCTCAGCAATTGTACCTGGGGATGCTGCCTTTCTGTGTGGAGCCTCCATGTCGTACATCGCTTTTTCAACTAGTCGAGCTTCTTCCTCTTCTCCACGCTGCCTCAATTTGATAAATTTGGATAATCTGGTGTTTGCTAAGTCCTTGTGTGAGATATATTGATCTATTTATAAATTTATTTTGTTTACTTATCTATCTATGTGTGTGTGTGTTTATTTGTTTATTTATTTGTTTATTTATTTCTATAATATTTTATTCATACTCTACTGAATTCTACTACCACGACTGTCAGATTAAATTTGCTACTACTGCGATTTCGATACAGTAGGTCTATCGAGGGAAAAACGGTGTCGATCAAATTCCATTTGTTGGACTCAGACTCATAGCGACAGCTGCTCATCACTTGGAATTTGACTGGTTAACACGATGGACATGTTCCATCATTGATTTTGCAACCGGGTCACTGCAACCATTCAACATGGTTGGCCATCTCCAAGTACTTGTCTCTCTCCTGCAGCAAGGCCAATGAGAAGTTGTTTGCTTCGACGATTTGCAACGGCATGTTCAATCTTGGAAGCAAGCGGCGTTTGCAGCAAATGACTGGGTAAACACATGTAAACACCAAGAAACCACAAATGATTCAAAGTTCTGCACGATGTATGCATGTTCTTTGCGTGTGTCTCTGTGTGTGTGGGTGTGCAAAGCGCGCAAGGTGATTAGTATGTGCGATGTAGGAGGTGGAGGAATGGGCAATAGCTAAACCATCGTACCATACATAACACACATCACCCGCTTCAAGCGTGTCGTGCGCTTAATTCAAGTCATGTATGCAAGGCGCTGCCATCATGATGGTGGTGGGCATACTTGCATAACTCAAGTAGTACAGTAATGTGCTCGAAGTAGATTGTGCAATGCATGTACAACACCGTGTTGCCGATACAATCAAATCAAGTTCATGTTATGTAATTTGGAATACATGAAGCATTTCTTGCCGTAGTGTCAAGAAATGTGATCCACGGGGAGAGAGATATTGGATGCCCACAAACGCGCCCTGGCCGTAGTTAGCCGTGAGCTGTTTGGTTGACTGTCTGGCTGATCCGGCTGATCTATCTGCATGTCCGTACATGGTTCCTTGCTTCGAAACTCAGGTGTGTGCACCTTGCCAACTAAGGATGTTAATATATGTATAATATAATATTACATAGTACATCTTATTTATTATAGATTGTAGATTAAAGATTATATATATATACGATATTCTACCTGCTATATCTTATACTATTTTTCATAGATTTTGTATTATAGATACTATTCTGCATATTTATATATATATATATTACAGTACAGATTATATATATATATATACATATATACATATACATATATATATATTGTACTATATATTAAATGTGTCACACTTTAAATTTTATTATTTATTATACAGCATATCATATATTAAAGATTATAGACTATATATTATACATTATAGTACATGGTATATAGTAAATGGTATATAGTAAATGGTATATAGTCTATATTGTACATTAAATTATAATTAGTCTATATATTTTGCTGTATATTAAAATTAATACATATATATTTATAGGATCATATTAAGTATTATATAGAATATATAATGTATTTTCATAAAATATTATATGCTAAATCTGAAATGTTGAATGCTATATATAATGTGTTGTATGTTGTGTGTCATATTAAAAAAAACATATAATCTATCATCGAAGGAAGTTTAGAAGTCAAACTCCCGACAATATGGACAGATGGAGAAGCAGAGGTGGAAAGAGTCAATGGAGAGAAGAGCAAAAGAGAGAAGATCAGAGAAGAGAAAGAGTGAGAAGAAAGAAGATGCAGGTGCGCGAAAAGGTAGGAAAGTCGCGAAACATTGTGTTTCCCAATGATTTGTGGCTCCGGAGGGTCGAAAACTAGGCTCGCTACAGCGGCAGGTGCGGAGCCAGCTGGCCAGATGAGCGATAAAAAGTTGCGAAGCACATTTCCAAAGTCAAAATGTACAAAACACGCCAAGCTCGGAGCACTTCGAGAAGGTGCGAAGTTGCGATGTCGAAAAAGTGCACGCCGTTGTGGCGCGAAGCACATTTCGAGGTCAAAATGTGCAAACAACACCATTCTCGGACCACTTTTGAAAGTTGAGATGTCGAAAAAGCGCACGCCGTTGTGGTGCGAAGCACATTTCGAAGTCAAAATGTACAAAGGACACCAGGCCCGGAGCACTTTTGGCACTTGAGATGTCGAAAAAGTGCACGCCGTTGTGGCGCGAAGCGCTTTTCCAAGTCAAAATGTTAAAAACACGACATGTTCGGACCACTTTTTGACGTTCAGATGTCGTTTCGCGTGGCAGGCGCAAGGGATTGTGCACCTTGCCAAAAGTGAGAAAAACGTGGGGGTTTTGTGGCATTTCCAAAAGTGATGGCAGGCGTGGAGCATTTGAAGAGGATCTGCAAAGATGCATGCTGCGTGGCAGGCGCAGTACAAGAGACATGTCAATCAGAGCTGTTAGGAGGTCCGAGCGCTGATTTCCTGAGATGGGTTGCATTTTGGAGCATCAGATCTGTAAGTTTGCTAAGATGATTTTGCGTGACAGGTGCAGCACTTCGCATGACCTGGCATCACTTTTTCCTGGCAGGCGCAGTACTTTAGACAGGTGGAGTGGAAAAATCGCAAAACGAATTGGCACGAAGCCGTCAGCTCTGCACTCAACTTTCCATTTTTGAAGGAAGTCCCGCAGAATTGCTTCGTTTTTAATGTTGTCAACTTCAAAAATTGAGGAGGCCTTGCAGAATTGCATCGTTTTTGACGTTGCCAAGTTCCAAAATTGAGGAAGTCTCGCAGAATTGCTTCGTTTTGGATGTTGTCAAGTTCGAAACTGGAAGAAGTCTCGCAGAACAGCTTCGTTTTCAATCTTGCAGATAGATAGATAGATAGATAGATAGATTGTGAATCGGAGGTTGTCTCCCCGATTATGTATAGTTGTCGCTTTGTCTTGAGGTTAAAGTTCTCAACGATGACGTCGCAAGGGTTGCAGCTTCGGCATGGCGTTGTTTCTCACTCTTGGCTTCTGCAGTAATCTTGAGCCAAAGGGGCATTTTATGCACACCTTTGGTTATGGACGATAGTAGGATGTCTTTGTGGGATTATGTACTGTGCCGTAGCCTACATCCTATTCGCACCCCCCACGCATGACCAACTTTGTTGGCCACGCGCAAAGGAGTGTCCTTTAAATCGTTCCATTACATCTGCAACTGTTCATTTGTCGAATTAAGGAGAGCTAAAGTCCGTTTCAGAACTTCCAATCTACATGGCGGCTTGCTACGATCTCTACCATAAAAAAAAATAAAAGGGTCTGTTCACGTGCATGTAGACACGACGTAGTCGGTGTCTAGCGTTGAGGTTCATCCAATGTGGCGTAGCCATCATGGAATCCCACTCAAGCATGTGAATTAAAGAAAATCAAACATAAAGAATGACTATGGGACTAGAAGTTTACCTTCCCGTTCCTTCGTCGGTTGAGATGTAGACCGCTGTAGAAACTCAGCGTCTCATGCATTGATGTTCAAAAAAAATGTGTGGTTCTAAATTAGCCGGCTCAGAGTCCTCTCAGAAATCATTCGAAATGAAGTAGAGGTAAATCTCGAGCAATGATTGCATCCTCGCATCGCCAGGTTCAATCAGGACCTATGCAGAGGTCAGATCGCTTGATCATCTATATCCCCATCCATAGTATCCCTGATGATTCCAGTCTCCGCCACGGTGTGAATAAGATCTTCCACCTTTTCCTTGGTCTTTTCCACCCTTCTTTGGCGGGGTCACTGGAGCTTGTTTTGGCGGAGGAGCAGTTTCAACTGTTCTCCATGTTGCTGACGATGATGCTTTCGCTTTTGACGCTCGTCCCAGTGCTGGTTCTGCCTTCGGGGCTGCTTTCGATTTGCCAGCGGCTGGTTCGGTGCGTTCACGATCAGCAGGAGTTGGGGTATCAGCAATCGCAAGTATGTGAGCTTCTGTCAAATGAATGCCCCAACTTGGTCGTTGATCTTCCCTTTGCTTGATGTGATTGTAATCATCGATTGCATCATATAGCTTCTGGAGTAGAGGTCGTGGCAATTGTCGGCCATTCTGAAGGATCAGGTGTAAAAGTGATATTCTTCGAAGTGGTGGACGAAGAGCACACACAATGTCAACTGGGTTCAATGTGATTGTGTCTTGAAAGTCGACGTTCCTGAAGAAATAAACAGCATTTACCCTATATGCACCTGCAATGGTTCTTCTGACCAAGACGTCTTGTCGGTCAAGGGCGTCGCGGGCCGCTGTGGTCTTCCTCATCTCGTCCATTGTTGTGTCACGTTTCGACAGCTTCTCCATCTCCTCATCAAAGAAGATGTTCTGCAAGTCATCATACGTGTAGCCACATTCAAGGGTATATACGAGAAGTCGCTTGAGCACCACTGCTCCGTAATAAGCATTGACGAATCCCTCTTCTCCGATGTCGTCTTTTTGATTTGGTCGGCCGATCTCTTTGTAGAGCTCTTTCATCTGTTGTGCAGTTGGTTCAATGAGTTCACCATTTTCATCCTCGCCCAGGTAAGGTGTCCTTGAATCCAGGTCCATCCTAAATTTCTGGTTCTGTTGAAAATGTTTCCATGCCGTCCCAATGTCTCCACAGAAGTTCCGTTGGAATAGTCTGTAGATCCTGACGATATGTAGTCCCATCTGCAACAGGAGGATCTTGATGAATTCTGGTTGAGCATCTCCAATTGTGCAAGGTTCGATTGGCAGGACCTTTGATCCAAACTCAATTCGCTGCATCCACTTGGGGTACTCAATCTCTGCATCACGAGCTTCTCCAGCCTCGTACTCTTCAATGTTGATCTCATCGACCGCTGTTTCTTCAACATCATTCTCGTCGGTCGGTTTTCCCTCTTGATTGAGAAATTCGTCGACCTCATCTTGCTCTCTGAAGTCTCTTTTCTCGTCATTGATGTCGCCCTTCTTCGAGGCTTGGTCATCATTTTCTTCTTCTGGTTGAGGTTCCTGCTCTGGACTCTTCATGGTGACGTCATCATCACCTGGCATTGTCTCATCATTATCATCATCACCTGTCAAATCGATCTTCACCTCTTCCCATGCTTTCTTGACATGGTCTTTGAGATCTTCTTCTCGATGATGTGATTCGGCTTTTGGTACTGTCGCCACGGTGATTTTGATTCGCTTCCTCCATCCATGACTCACCAAAAATCCTTTGCACATCACACAAATTGACAAAGGCGCAGGGGTTTCCAACAGACATGCGGGGCATAGTCGATGGTCCTCTTTGCTAGGATGATGGGTGACTGCCAATAATGAAATTGCATCATTCCAATCCGGATGTCCAGGGAACAATCTGTGAGTATGACTGAAGTGGCCTGTCCTGATATCGACAAGTTTTCGAAGTTCGTCAAGATCGGGTGATGATTCTTCAGGCACAATGTTTCCAATGAGCT